CAATAAATGAGGGTTTTTTTTCCTAAATTACCTAATAAGGAGGAAGGAAGGAGGAGCAGGAAGTAGGAAATAACTCCAATTGTGCCAATCTAGCAAGAGTCTGAAAAAGTGTGCTTTCGGGCTGTACCAAACTGGTTTTCACTGGCTTAAAATCCATCCCCTAGTCCCAGTCCTCCACTACCCCAAAAAAATACTCTCCTCTCTGAAGCTCATGTAAGAGTTGTTGGGAAGGAATCAATGAACTGGCACCAGATAGATTATAGCACACAGTGGATCACGTTCAGGATTGTGACTGTGCCTATTACATAGAAAATAGAGTTTGGAAGACCCTTCAGAAACACTCATCTGGTGTTCTTGAAACTGGGTGACAGATTTGTCTGCTGAAGTTAGTTACTAATGACAAACCACTCCAGTATCTTTGCCAAGAAAACCCCAAATGGGGTCATGAAGAGTTGGACAGGATTGAAAGGATTCAACAACAAAAACTGCTGCTGCACTGCTACTGCTTGAGTCAGGTACAGGAAGGGGTTCAATTTTGTTGACTCCGCAAAAAATATACCTGGGTAGGGGGGATATGGGGTGGGGATGGACAGAGGGACACAAACACAATACAGTCCCTGGGAAAAGCAGGAGCCCCTTTAGGGTGCTGCCAGGGTCTGGTTGACTCCACCATATAGGTGATGGCCAGAGTTGAAGGTCAAGTAGAAAATTAAACAGGTCAATAGGAACAATGTGAATGGACTTAAGAGTATCTCAACAGGTTAGTATTCAGTATCCAGTGTTATCTACAGAAATACAACAAAGAACAGCAGCAAAGGCCAAAGCCTAAGGTTCTCCTCCCCATCAGTCCACATCTTCTCTTCTAAATGTAGTCACTTATTTTCTCCTCAGTCTACAGGTAGACCATTTGGTGGGCAGGACCAACAATGTCCTCCCCTCCAAGTCCTTTGACCTAAAGTCTTGATTGGGACTCACTTATTACCACCTACTGGCTTCCACTGGATCGTTTCTGTGTCCACTGTTCAGTCTAGTTGTCTTTATTGGTTTCTTGAGCTTTAAATAGGCGCTTCTAACAGTAGAATGGGCCTTGGGCAGGGTGAATGTAAAAGATGGCTGTTGGCTCCCCAGACTATTACAACTTAGCTGGCAAGAATCAATGCATCCAAATTCTTATTAGCAACTTGACTAGTAGAGCCTGTTTTTTACTTAGCAGGGAGTACACTGCAACTATACTGTTCTAACCCAAGGATAGCATAATAGCCTGGTTACCTGCTACCATTCATAGGAAAAAAGTGTCCAAAATCCAACTTGACCAATATTACAACCCATTACTATATTAATATTTTTATAGTAGGAGCAACTGATATCCAAGTGGGCAACACCCTGACTACCTTGAGGATCCAAACAGAATTAACCTAGACAAAATATAAGGACCATCCCAATAGGCTAAGGTCCTGGGGATGCAATGGGAAGGGGCCCAGAGAGACATCCCTGAGATTAAACTCCTGGCCCTGAATTCCCAAAAGCCAAAAAAGATGCTCAGGTTCTGATTGGGCTGATGGCTATTGGCACCTTTTCCCATTTAAGGTTCATCGTGCAACCACTCTAAGCTGTGACTTGAGCATGCTACATGATTTGAATAGAACTACAACGAACTACATTGAAGGCTGCCCAGCAGGCATCCAATAGGTCCTTCAACTTGTATACCTGTCATTCACTGATGCCATGGTGCACATTTCCCAAATGGCTGTACCCCTCTGGACTTTTTCATCATTCCACAGGAACCTCTTGATCCTTCAAGTTCATGTCAGCCCTGGAACCCAAACCTCATCAGTATGACACCCAACAGATCCCCTTATTGGAAGGTGGAGAATGTTTATTGACTGACACATATGATCTACTCCAGTGGCATCAAATAAGCCCATGAAAGATGTAGTCAGGACCCATAGGTCTCTCGGGTTCTACACCTGCACATTTACATGGGTAATGGTCAATTACATCCCCTTTGCAATTATTAACCTCCAATTATTGACCAGGGATATTCCCATCACATTGAAACCTGAGATGCTTATTTTCCAATGAATTCTGGCTGAGACCAAGTCCCACAAAGTGGTAGAAGGCATCAATTATAAATGGTAATGGTCCATTCAAAGTTGAATGAAGCCTGATGAGTAAACTGCACAAGTTGGTGGCTAACCCAAGGCACTGGGGAATATGTGCCCAAAGTTAACCCACTGCTATGCCTCCACCAATTCGGGATCCTTGTCTGTCCAAGCTCCCAGAGGATGCAGAGGCCTAGTTTGCTGGTACCACCCATCACATTAAAAGTAAGTCCAGTGGAGTGAAGTAGTGATCAAGTTGTTTCAAGGTAAAGTTCACACTATTCAAGGCAATGATCAGTCAGCTCAATGGGCAGAGCTATGAGCAATGCCCCTCACTCAAAAGAAGGTATTCATCTATATTGACTCTTAAGCTGTGGCCAACAGCCTAGTTGTTCGATCCAGTTAATGGCAGCAAACTAATTGGAAAACCAAGTCCAACTCAATATAGGGGCATCCCTGTGGGCCTACACAGCAGTTGAACAACAACAAATGAAACCTAGAAGAAAACACAAAACAAAAAAGCAATGGCTTATATATTATCCTGTATCTGTCCACTAAAGGTGACCCTTTTCAGAGAAATCCTTTGACCTCGTTTAACCCCTCGCTGAGATGGTTTGCCAGAGTATGGCTGCTGCACATGCTACAATTTCTTGGAATCTCGGGTGAGAGTCGAGTGCCAGGTAGACACCAAAGGTGAATGAGCAGCCCTGAAAAGGTCTTGGCAGACCCTCATACTAAAGGTGCTAGCCTCCTTGAACATCCCATAAATCCCCAGCCCCTGCTAAAAAAAAAATGACCTGGAAAATGGATGGAAATAATTTAAGATATATTGGATTACCTGAAAGCAACAACACTATACCTGAAAGCCACTACTATATAAAAGGGTAGAGAGCTCAGAATAGCTAATACCAGAAGGCAAAAGATGTAGACTTAAAAGCAAGAACTTATCCAGCAAAACTGAGTATAATCTCACAGAGTAAAAAATACTTTTAATCAAAGAGAGGATTTTAAACATCCCTAACGAAAACACTAAATCTACATTGGAACTTTGAAGTTCAAACATAAGAGTTAAAGAGCAACATAAAAAAGTAAACATGAATAAATAATTATAAGTGACTAAAACAAGGATAAACTGTTTACATGTGTCCCTACTGAATCCCATCAGCTTTAGGGGTAAGAAGTCTAACTAGACAAAAGACCAGGGAGTATTTCTGTTGTCTTGAGCATCTTAAAAGAAACAAAAAGGAGGGGAAAAGGCAGGAGGTCAGGGGAAATTCTCTCACATAATCAGGGTAAAGTCTATTCAAATAAGGAGAAAGGACTAGAAGGAGCAGATCATACTTGAACCACATTCTCATCTAAAACAGAGGGAAGAATACACATAAACAGAGTTGGGTACAGAAATACATGTTACTCAGAGAAACAAAAAGGAAAGGCGAGGTGTAATGAGAGTTGGTAGATTAAGGGAGAGAATAGTTCTAAGCAAAATAAACTCTAAAAATGTACAAAAGTCAGGACAGCTCTTTTTGTAGTGGCAAAGAGTTGGAAACTGAGGTGGTACCAATTAGGGAAAGGTCTGAACAAGGTAAGGCATGTAAATGTGATGGTATATTATCATGCCGTTAGAAAACAAATCATGAAGAGGATAGAATGGCTTCAGAGAAACTTGGGAAGACTTGTACAAAACACTGAAGAACAAAGTCAGTGGAACTACAATTTATACAATGACAATAAAAACAAATAATTTTGAAAGATTTTGAAACTCTGATCAGCAAAATGACCCACCACAATTCCTGAGAACTCATGATGAAATATGCTACTTACCTCATGTATCTCCGTATATAACGAAACATTATTTTAGACATGGTCAATGAGGAAATTTGTTCTGCCTGATTATGAATCTAACAGTGTTTTTGTTTTTCTCAATTGGGGGTGTGGGTTGGAGTGAGGGAGAGGTGTATTTTTGCATTTTTTTAAAAAATTCTGAGTATCAGTATCTCAGTTTCAATGTGATAGGAATGTCCCTTGTTGGTTTGTTTCAATCAGGGTCCACTAGCTAGCTAATGGTTTTTTGGGAGTCAGATGATTCTTAAATTTTCTCTTCCCCAGTTTTCCACATCAATAGTTCCTGATAGATACCTCACAGTATTCTAATTTTCAGTTAACATTCAAAATTTTTTTTGCTCTTATCAAATCATTCAGTTTCATTTTCTCATTTGCTCCTTTCTTTTTAAAGAGTGTCTACTACTTGGGTCATATTTTCCATCTTCTGTTCAAAGATATTCTACAGTTTTTTTCCTAAGAGTTCTCATTTTATTTTTGCCTTTTGCTTCATTCTTTTCCATGTTATGACAATCTTTTCTTTTTACCGAAGCTCAACTTGTACTCATTATGGAATTCCTCCTTGGCCATCTTCATGCCAAAGCCACCAGGCATATAAACTGGTCCCCAAACCTTCCATTTAGCTCTGAGAACAAATCAAATCCACATTACCACTCCTGAAAAGGACGTGTAAATCAATTGCCTTATGGCTCCACTTACCAACCCATGACTTCCAAGTCCAAAACACCCTTCTCCTGATCACCACTCTCTGTTTTTCTTCACTGGGAAATTTCTTAGGGGAGTTGGGATCAGATGTACTTAAGCTTTCATGTCACTATCTTTACCAGAATACGTTATAACATTTTAAGTAACCTTTGAAGGACCTGATTATTAAAATGTGATATTCTAAAAGATGATAATGGCAGATTAGTTTTTTCTGCCATTCAGATCAAATTAATTGGCCTGCCAATCACTCACAAATGTGTAGCCTGGCCTTATAAGAATAAATGAAATCTATTTAAAGATATGTATACAGCTCTATACGCAAACTAAAGAACCAAGTTTGACTATTTCATGTGCTCACAACAAAGTGATGTTATTTTATTATTCAATCTTCATGGCCCATATTTTATTTATAGCTGTGGTACATTTACAAATATCAGAAAAAAAGAAAATCTTAAGTCTCAGTACCATTACCAACAACTATATTACACTAATTTTAGGCAGGGCATGAGAAAGAGAACTATGAAAACAAACAAGCATACCTCCAAAATTCCAAAATTATAATAGAGAGAAATCAGTATAATCAGAAAGAAAATGAATCAGTCAGAATCCTGACACTTAGTAACCCTGTCTGACCATGAGAAATTTGTTCTTTTAGCATCAGTTTCCTCATCTATAAAATAAGAATAATGCTTACCCTGCATGCTCCCCAGGATTGTTGCAAAGAAATCACCTTGCAAACACCAAAGTACCATAGAAATGTGTTTTTACCATTACCAATGTGAGCTGACCTCAGAATTGAAAGCAGTTCTAATATTTGGAGGCTATCGTAGAGATTGCATTCCTTGTACTGACAACCACCAATGGAGATTTTGACTCCTGATGTAACAATAAACATTTACTTGGCTTTCAGAGATTGTTCTTGGTTATTATAATTAGTGTCTTATTCACTAAATTTTTAAAAAAAAGCGTAATTTGCTGGAAGGATCATTGTTATAGAGCCTACAGGAAAATTCCCCCCATGTAGTTCAGTTACATATTTTTCTTAGTATACAGGTGATCATATGGTTAAAGAAAAGGTGAACAACCTATGGCAGAGGTGTCAGTGAGTACCTGAAGTTTCCAATAGTACTTCAATTGGAAATCCAATAGTACATGTATTCTCTTTGACAAACCTCCTTTCTCCTCTATTTGCTTTCTTACTCCCTTGTCCCTTACCTTTGTTCTGGCTAGGTCTGGCATAGACAGTCCTGATGGTGGTGCTTAAAACTGACTCCTGGACCAAAAGGGCACTACTGATTTACACTACTACTTGTCACCATATTTCACTAAGCATCAACCTAATAACTTTGTGACCACACACTGCTAGAGCAATCCCATTTATAAAGAAACACTAGGTAAAAAGAATTCCTAGTTTAGTGTGCCAAATGAGTTTTTTAATTGTCAGAAAAATGAATATTGCAACTTGGATCCACATGAGGCTTACTTATCAAATACAGTAGCCAGATATAATCTTTACAAATAATGATGCATTAGAAGGCATAAAAAATGTTTCAGCATAGTCATGTGTTTGTTGTCAGTAAGGGGAATCTATAACCCATTATAAGCAATAGCTTAGAATTTTGTAGTTCTAACAATCAAATATTTTAGATGGCAGCATATATTTTTCCTTTAAAAGGAAAAGAGAAAAGCTGCAAACATTACCACAGAAAACAAATTCTAAAACAATTCTATGCATCTAAAAAAATTCTATTTTGGGAAGGACGTTATGCTAAGCAAACTACCTGTACTAAATATATTAAACTATACTAGTAGTATATACTACTAGTAGTGGGCTACTACTTATATTAAATATTGTAGCAAATGTCTAAATAAGTTGCCTAGAATTTAAGATGTTCTAAAATACACATGTGAAAACTTCTATTTTGCCAACACATTCAGAACATCAACATTCAAAACTGTTCAGAATGCAAAACCATTTAATGTTGAAAACATAACAAGACTACACATAAGCAAGTACACACATGTGCGTGCACACACTTACAACTTGAATTTCTTGCTCCACATCCTACAGTCTCAAAATTTAATACTGTAAACATTACTGAGCAAACTGGAGCATCGTGGCAATGGCTCAGCTGCCTTAATAACAAGTTGTACTGTAACATAACTTTTGAAAGCTACCAGATCAGTGAAAAGTCAAATAGGTTATTTTCCCTGACCATTTCTGAAAGCAAACTGTTTTAAAGAGATGAATGTTCAAGCTTGTTTTTTTTTTTAATTCACACACAAAAATTTACCTGCCAGAGTCAGGAGCTGAAGGGCAGACTCATGTCTTTGCCCTGGTTCAATTTTTTTTTTAAAGGAAGAGAAAAGAATTTTTTTTTAAAAAGGAAAGAAAAAAATTAAAACAAAGCTGCTAGCGCTGACTGTGAATCCTCCACTTCTGTACAAGGTGGGATAAACCACTCTTCTTGATTAAATCAGTTTTATGTTCTTGGCTGCTTTTCAAATGCAAAAACCAAGTAAATACCTAAAAATAACAGAAAAAACACATTTAAGGCTTGGTATCTTGCTCCACAAGGAAAATAAAAAGAACAATTCTAGTTCACAGCATAAGGTTTGGTTACAAAATTCCTCTGCTCTCAGAAAGTGCTGAAAAAAGAAGGAAAGAGAGAAATCCTAATATCCTCAACTATTTTCTTGCTTACTGACAGCCTACTTCAGTTCATCCTTAAATGGACAAATGACCATCAATTGCAAAATTTGTATGCATACAGCAATCTACAGTAGCATCACTTCAATGATTTCATGGCTCCAAAAAATGACACAAGACAGTTTTGAAATGTAATGTCAAAACTTCAACAAAAAAAAAGACCACTTTATGTCTGATCTCATGTGAATTAACTAGAGAATATATACAGATCATCTCCCAAGCAGTAGTAGAATACCTCCATAATAAATCCAATTGCAGTGACACTCTAAAAATTGTATTTAAAATAAAAATTGAAGCAATAAAAGAGAAACGTTCCTTTGTATGAATGAAATAAAACTTGTGATATTCCTTACAGGGAATTTCTATCACTTTCTATGTAGCTAGCAAAATACGGGAACAAGCTAAAATTGGTTTGATGGCCACAGTTGACTAATTTCTGAAAGAGATCAAATATTTTGGCCCTAACTTTAAATCAAATACAGAGTTAATATGCTTCAAAGGCACTTATAATCTTAGTTTGGCTAAGCAAGTACATAAAGAATTCTTTAAATGTATTCCCACTCTTCTATACTCCAAATCCACGAAACAAGACTTATTTTCATGGGGGGCAGACCACTTTTGCTTTTTCTTTGTAAACTTAGAGCAGAATGTGGTGCCTAGAACATACACAGTACTTTACAAATGTTTGCTTATTGACTAGTGGAATATGTTACTAAAGAGTCCTGGTTTAGGTACAAATTAAGGCTAAAGAATCGATAGTTTCACATTGAAGGGACTAAATATGAGTCTTAGGCTAGGTCTATATAAACCCGAAAAGTAACAGTAAATAGCATGGAACAAACCTTTAACTAGGTAACAGACACAGCTCACTCTCCACCCATACATATTTGCCCTCATTTGGAGTGTTTGTGTGTTGAGGGAGAGTGGGGGGTGGGAATGGGATGGACAATGAGAACGGATGAATACAGCATGCAGGCTGGCATTCAGGAAAGTGAAAATATAACAAACACTTGCACAACAGAGCAAAATTAATCTCTACAATTTCCCTTCAGCATGTGAACTCCTTAAACTTATCAGATCTAAACACTAAAAGATGTCATGTACTCACACTGATTCTACTTACTTGTAGCTTCCCATTCGGATTTACTTAAGGTCCCCTAAATTTAAATTAAAAAAGAGAGGAGAAAGTTATAAAGCTCAACACAAAAACATACACAGCTTTACACGAATTTGTTATTGTTTATAATTCATACACACTTTAAACATTAAATGGATATCTAAGATAATAAAGATGAAAAACTGCAGGTCTAGATTTAGCCATCTGTGCAAACTGATACTACCAATTTTGAAGGGTGACTATGAGTATATTGTCTATACAGGGTGTCTCAAAAGTCTAAGTTCCATTTAAGCTTTAATTGTTAAAACTTTAGTAGTACATATACTTAATATAAGAATTAATACTTCTTCAACTATAACCAAATTTTTCTTTATCTTAACCAATATATAAAATTTATTAGTAATAATTATTACTTTTTTTGAAAAGGTAATGAATTTATTTTAAACTACATTCATAAATCTAATACGGGATACAAATCCTTAGTCTAACACTCTCCTCTTTTTTTGAGAGAAAATAGAAGTGAGTCAAAAGGACAACAAAGCAAGACTAAAAAACATAAAGCACTCTCGGTTATTACCCAAAACATCAGTTTCATCCCAAATCCCTTAAAACTCATCTCATTCCATACTCTGCTTCTGCAACTATATAGTTGATTTTGGAGAAAACTGATTATTGCTCCTGTATTAAGAAGTAAATTTAGGTGAACCAAGTGCCTCTGAAGTATGTATTACAAGGAACAGCTTTTAAAAAACAGTCAAAGAATAGTGAAGTGGTCAAAGCCTGGTAGAGAAGTGTAATGGACACAGGTCTGAATTACTTATCTTACATCTCAATACAATATTTGCTTTATTTAATGCCTAACAAATATTTTCTTTGAGGAAATACTTACCAAAGGTAATCTAACTTGACTGTTTTTCATATATTTTGTAGCATGTTCATAATCATCCAAATTCCCCGAGGCAAGCTTGGAATTCTCACTGGCTGGATATGGCTAAGAAAGTAAATTAAACTCTTGAATTTCCTTATACCAATGCCTATTAAGTCAACAAATACTAGAAATTCTCTTAGAAGTAAAATAATAACTTATTTTAAACATATGAAAGAAGCACTGTGAGAAAAACTATGGCAAAGAAGAAAGAATCTTGGACTTGGGCTCAAAAAACCCAAAGTCCATCAGTTATCAAATCACATTCAACTTGATTGTTTGAGGGAAATTCTTACAAAGAAATTTACAAAAATGCAAAGCACTACCAAAAGACAAATGGCCAAAGGATATTAACAGTTATTAAAGAACCATACAAAAAACTGTTCCAAATCACTAAAAGAAATGCAAACTAAAAAATTCTGAGGCATGACTTCACATTCATCACATTGGCAAGGATGAAAAAAGATACAATTAGTCAATGTTGAAGGAGCTATGATACAACACAGTGATGACTGTCTCTGTTAGTGGAATTGTTCAAAATAAATAAACATTTATTAAGTGCTTACTATGTGCCAGGCACTATGTTAAGCGCTAAGGATACAAATGTGAAAAAAACTGCCCATCCTCAAGGAGCTTACAATTTAGTGAGGGAAAAGAATGCACAAAAGGAAGCTGAAAAGGATGGAGGGAGGAGGAGCAAAGGTATCTGGTGCAGCGGCATAATGCTGGAGGAGTCAATTCCAAAGAGTACAGCTGGCAGGAAATAAAGAACTGGCTGGGCTTTTGAGGCCTCTTTAAATAACAACTCTTCTATTACACAATGCTAAGAAAAGGAGACAGTGAAGTGGTGCAGTGAATACAGCAACGGGCCTGGAGTCAGGAAGACCTGAGTTCAAATTCAGCCTCAGCCATTTTACTAACTGCGTGACTCTGGGTGAGTCATTTAAGCCCCATTTGCCTCAGGACTTCATCTGTAGAATGGAGAAGCAAACAGAAAACCACTCCAGTAACCTTTGCCAAGAAACCCCCATGGACAAAAGTTCATGAGGTCGTGAGAATTGGACCTGACTGAACAAGAAGAAAGGAAACTACAAATAAATTACTTTTAATAAGCTATAATGGATTAGTCAGGTAAAATTACCATGGAAGTATAAGAATACATCATTCAAATGACATTAAAATAATTAAATCTCCTACAGAAACTTATTTCTTTAAATCCAAAAGGACTTAAAATCAAATAAGTATATGAAAGAAAATGGCACTAAGGGATAAAGCAATCAGAAAGTAAGATCGAAGAATAGCAGTTCAAATTTCTAAGAGATGTTAATGAATCAGGAGCCAGGAAGACATTAACCATAATATAAATACCCACAGTCTTCAGAAAGATATCATAGGACCCATTGATTAAGACCTGAAAAAAAACCCTTAAAAGCCAATGAGTTCAACCCCTTCATTTTACATTGGAGAAAACTGAAACCCAGAAACATTAAGGAAGGAAGGGCCCGATTTTTTTCTTTCATAAGCCATTATATAAGATGGGGATGATTATAAATTCTAAATTAATTTGACTAATTTTTTTTTGGGGGGGGAGGTCCTTTCTGTCCCTAACCACCAACCATTTCAGATAAGTACTGTCTTTCAAAGAGTCACCCTGTTCAACACATCTTTGGAATGCTTCCTGTAATTACCTTCAGAGCCAGTTTACTATCCTCACAAGAACATTCACTACCCTAGTCAAGAGTTATTTCCTTGGTTATCTTTTTTTCTCCAATCTTTTCACCATCTTCTCTGCTTAGCTCTATCTTCCCTCCTCTCTTCTTATTGGCACATTTGAGACAAGAGTACTTGTGCCTAATTAAAGAATCTGAGAAAAGGGACCCTAGAGCCAGACTGAGATGAACACAGGAGAAGACTGATTCACTTGCGTATTGCCTTCCTGCCATAAATCGATCTAATTAGACATGGGCAATAAATGTGAACTACTAGAGGTCAAATCATCATAAATGGAAGGATAGGTGCAAGTGTATATGTATGTATGTACATTTATAGGCACAAAGCCTTAAAAATAATTTCTTGTTCCTAACAAGAAGTGAGAAAATACTTTGAAATCATTACTATCCCTATACTGACTAGAAAAACCTAAAAATGAAAAAGTATCAAATGATAAATGACAAAAGATAACATATTACAGAGTCAAAAGAATGCCCTTAATTTATATATTACATAATTGTACATAATTTTTTTAATTAAAATTAGATATAAATAGTAGTAAAGTTTCTATTCTTTTTAGAAATTAGAAGGTTGTTGTTTTTTTTCATTTCTTAGTTCACATTTTAAAAAAACTTGGTTAGATGACACCCTCACTACCTCTGCAAAAGGAAAAGAAAATATAGCCAGTGATTGGCTGTTACTGTAGTACTGAGTCTGAATTCACAATAACTCTTACAAATGCTTCATTTTCCTATAAAAGATCTATTGCTCCTTATTTAAAAAAAAAAAACCTACTCCTCACAGGGTATTTGTAAGGAAAGAACTCTGTAAACTCTAATTGGTTATCACCAAAATTACAGTAAGGCTCTAAAGGTCCTTCCAGGAAACTAATCTTCCTGGAGATACCAGCTAGAGGTTGTACTCTTACCTCATCTGTATCCTCAGGAACCTCTGTCCCTGACTGGAGGGCTGGAGTGTGGAGCAAAAGACTCCTCAAAAACCCTCCACCTAAAGAGGGCTCAGAAGCCCAGCCAACTCATTTCCTACCACATGCAGTCCTTAGAATTGACTCTACCATCATCAACCCCCAAGCCAGGAACCTTCTGCTCCCTTCCCCCAACTTCCTTTCAGCTTCCTTTTGTGTGTTCTTCTCCCCTATTAGACTGAAAGTTCCTTGAAAGCCAGGATTGTCGACCTTTTTCTTATTAGTATCCCCAGCACACAGCACAGTGCCTGGTACATAGTAAGCACTTAATAAATGTTTATTTCATTATACTCCCCACTTATTCCCATCTCTCAATGGCAGAGAATAAAAGGACTGAATATTTTGGATCTGTTTAACTATGGAATATTAAATTAATATGAGAAGGAAAAAAGAGGGAAAAATCAGAAAACGATAGTTTTCATGTACATATTCTGAAAAGCATATAGGTTACCATGACAACTTTAAAAACAAAAGTGGGTACAGAACTCCTTTTCTTGGTTAGATCTGGAAAAGAAAAAGATGTCCAAAGAGGAAAAAAAGATGTAATTTCCTTATTTGTCATTTAGCTAAAAAGTAAAAGAATAAAAAAACATGCCCAGCAATAGACAATGTTCAGCTCTTGGTGAATTCCAATAATCTGCAAATGTGCCATAAAATCTATTCTTTTATCTGGCATTATTTAGAGATTGTTTAAGACTATGATCATCATAGATATCTAAAAGTGTGGAACCACAAACTATTTACATTACTTCCACTTTCTAGTCAAGAAACGATGCAATTAAATAGACTGAAACAATGTTATGAAATTATTTAATAGAAAAGTGAAGGGGAAAGGATGGTCTTGTCCAGAAGACAATGCAGACTAACAATAATAAGAAGAAAAGTAAGTAAGAATCAATTGACAAATACTCCCTGATAAGGACTTAGAAAGAACAATTAAAAAATTATGCTACTGTATGCAGTGACATAAATTCAAAGTGGTTAAACAAATGAAGTTGTTTTTTACTGAAATTCAATATCGCTATTAATAAACTATAAGAAAATTAGATGTTTGTTTTAAATTTGCTCTCCCATCCAGTTTAAGTTATTGAAATACCCAAAGGATTTCAATTATAAGATAGTCCAAAAGATACACTGAAAAAATAGCACAATATAATTAGACAATGAATATTTATTAAGTATTTACTATCTGTCAAGCTATACTAATTGCTGGAGGTAGAAAGAAAGGAAAAAACAGTCAATGTGCTCAAAAAGCTCACAGTCTAAGGAGGGAGACAATACACAACAAACTGTATCAGGAAAAACTGGAAATCATCAACAGAAAGAAGGCACTAGAATTAAGCAGGGATTGGAGAAGGTGTCCTGTAGAAGATAAGGTTCTAGTCAAGACTTGAAGGAAGACAGGAAGCAGAGATGAGGAAGAAGAGCATTCCAGTTCTGGGGGACAAGCAGTGAAAATGTCTATGTCATCGTCAGGGGTCAGTATTACTAGATTGCAGAGTACATGTTGGGTGTAAGGTACTTTAAAAGTACAGGAAAGATAGAAGGGGCCAGGTTATGAAGGGATCTGAATGTCAGATGGTTTTATATTTGATCCTGGAGATGATAAGGAGCCACTGGAGTTTATTGAGAGAAAGACAAAGAGACCAGAAGGCAATTTCAATAGTTCAGGCACAATGTCATAAGGGCCTGCACCAGGGTGATGGCAGTATCAGGAGAGAAAGGGGTATATGTGAGAGATGTTATGAAGGTAAAGAAGATGAATAATCTATATAAAGTTATGAAGAGAATTGGCAACTGATTGAATAGGGTAAGAGAGAAGGATCAAGGATGACATCTAGGTTGCAAGACTGAGTGAGTGAGGGGCAGCAAGGCAGCATAGTGGATATAGCAGGCTCTGGAGTCAGGAGGACCTGAGTTCAAATGTGGCCACAAGACATTTGACACTTACTAGCTCTGTGACCCTGGGCAAGTCACTTAACCCCACTGACCAGCCATTAGAAAAAGAAAAAAAGTGAGTGGAAAAATTGTGGTGCCCTTGATAGTAATAAGGAAATTAAAAACAGGAGATGATTTGGGGGGGGGGGAAGACAATGAATTCTGTTTTGGACATGTGGAGTTTAAGATGTTTATAGGACATCAGGTTCAAAGTATCCAATAAGCAGTTAGAGATGTGAGACTGCAGGTCAGCAGAGAAGTTAGGGCTGGAATCATCAGCAAAGAGATGATAATTGAATCTGTGGGAGCCAATCAAGTGAAATAGTAAAGAGGATCCAGGACAAAGTCTTCAGAAATAGCCAGGGTTAGCAGGACTGACCTAGATGAAGTTATAGGAAAAGAGAGTAAGGAAAAGTTGGATAGGTAGGTAGGAAGCCAGAATAGTATTGCAAAAACCTAGCTTGAAGAAGGTGACCAACAGTATCAAAAGCTGTACAGAGGTGAAGAACGATGAGGAATGAGAAAAGGACATCGGATTTGGCAATTAAAAAAGTGTTAGTAACTTTGGAGAGATTAGTTTCATTTGAATAATGAGGTTAAAAGCCAGACTGTAGTGTCAGTAGTGTCAAATTCAAACAGTAACCATACATAAGAATCCCATCAGCCACAAACTTATTTAGTTTTAAAATGTGATGTAATCCATGTTTTAATTATACTTTTATAGTCTGTTAAATATTTCCCAATTACATTTAAATCTGATTCAGTCATTGTGTGCAGCTTTATGTTTCACACCACTGCTATAAAGAATTAAAAAGAGAGAAAAGTAAGTGGAGTCACCTACTGTAGAGTCTTCTCAAAGAATTTAGCCACAGAGGGGAAGAGCCAAGGTGGCAGAGTAAAAGCAGTGACTTGCTTGAGTTCTCCCCCAAACCTCCCCAAATACCTGTAAAAAATGGCTCTGAACAAATTCTACACACAAAAAGACAGTGAGAAACAAATTTCCAGCCCAACACAACCTGGATGGTTGATTGGAAAGGTCTATCACGCCAGGCTGGGAGAGGAACACAGTTCAGCGTGGGCATGCAGGTAAAGAGCAGGCCTCAGCAAACCTGCAACAGACCTCAGGGGACTGAATCAAGAGCAGCTGTGGCCGTTTCCAGACTCCTCAACCCACAAATGCCAAAGACAACTTAGAAGGTCAGCAGGGAAAATCTGTGACCACTGTAAGAAAGAAGCTAGGTCCCAGCCCCAGTCCTGGCATAGCCCCGGGGCAGCAGCTCTTCTGGCCCACAGCCTGAGGGAGAATCAAGTGGCTAATCAGAGGAGCGATTGTAGGGATCTCTTTGTTGGTGCTCAGGCAGGTTTCTCTTGCCTTGCCCATTCTTGGATCTGGGTCACAGTTCTGGGTGGCGATCCTGGGGTGAGAGGAGAGCTGGTGTGGTGGAACTCGTTGTGGCAGTGGAGAGAGAATCCTTCTCACAATTCCAAGGCAGAAAAGAGTGCCTGTGGTCACTCACAGACCAGAGCCCAGGCCAGGAAAGGAGTAAACACCTTGCCCCTTGATCACACCAACTTGGAAGAACAGAAAACTTACATTACAGGTCCCTAGAAGTATCTCTGAAAACAGCTGCACAAAACCCCCAAAGCTTGGGATCCCTACCATAACAAAGAGTTTAAAACTCAAGTAATTGGCTGGGACCACGAGCAAACTGCGCAAAAAACCATCAGACCATAGAATCTTTCGTTGCTGACAAAGACCACCAAAACATACAACCAGAAGAAGACAACAAAGTCAAAGCTCCTACACCCAAAGCCTCCAAGAAAAATATAAATTGGTCCCAGGCCATCGAAGAGCTCAAAAAGGGATTTTGAGAAGCAAGTAAGAGAAGTACAGGAAAAACTGGGAAGAGAAATGAGAGTGATGCAAGAAAACCATGAAAAACTAGTCAACAGATTGCTAAAGGAGACCCCAAAAAAGTAAGAGAGGATTATACCAGGAGGAGAAAGGGAGAGGTAAAATGGGGTACATTATCTCACATAAAACAGATAAGAAAAGGCTTTTACTGTGGAGGGGAAGGTGACAGTGAATGAGTGAATCTTATTCTCATCAGATTTGGCCTAAGAAAGGAACAATATACACACTCAATTGGGTATGGAAATCTATCTTACCCTACAGGAAAATAGTGGGGAAGGGGATAAAAGAGCATGGGGATGATAGAGGGGAGGGAGTAATCAGAAGCAAACACTTCTGAGGAATGACAGGGTCAAAAGAGAGAGTAGAACAAATTGGGGGGGGGCAGGATAGGATGAAGGGAAATATAGTTAGTTTTCCACAGCATGACTACTATGGAAGTGTTTTGCATGACTACACAAGTATAACCTGTATTGAGTTGCTTGCCTTCTCAATGAGGGTGCGTGGGGAGGGAGGATTTGGAAATCAAAGTTTTAAAAACAAATGTTAAAAACTGTTTTCACATGCAACTGGTAAATAAGATATACAGGCAATGGGGCATAGAAATCTATCCTGCTCTACAGGAAAATGGAAGGGGAAGGGGATAAGAGAAGGCAGAGAGATAGAAGGGAGGGCAGATTAGAGGAAAGGGTATTCAGAATGCATGCTGTCTTGGGGTTGGGGGAGGGACGAGATGGGGAGAAAATTTGGAACTCAAAATCTTGTGGAAGTAATGTTGAAAACTAAAAATAAATAAATTAATGAATCTTTAAAAAAAATAATAATTTAACCACAAAAAGGAGAGACAAAAGACAACAGCTATCAAGTAACATCTTTTTTGAGAATGGAATGTTTGTAAGCAGTGGGGAAGCAGCCAGTAGACAGGGAGAGATTGAAGATAAGAGTATTGATGATAAACGAGCAATCTGTTGGAGGAGATGGGATGGAATGGGATCACCTGTGCATATACAGAGTTTTGCCTTGGCAAGGAAAAGGGGCACATCTTCATGTGAGACAAGGATGAAAAGACAGTGCTATATATGGGGGATATCAAAGGAAGAGGAAGTCCTTGATGAATGGTTTCACAATTTTTTTAGTAAAATATGAGGCAGAGTTCTCAGGTGAGAAAGTGGAGGAGAAGGAGCCATGGAAGGTTTGAGCAGTTTGCTCATGATCCCAGTCAATTACTTGAGTTTTAAATTCTTTGTTAAGATAGGGATCTGCTTCCAGTGTGGAGAATATACTGTCCCAAGCTTTGGGGGGTTTGTGCAGCTGTTTTCAGAGATACTTCTAGGGACCTGTAAGTTTTCAGTTCTTCCAAGTTGTTATTATCAAAGTATGATCAAAGAGGTTAGTGAGTTAAATGGAAAGATTTAAAAAGATTGCTCTGCCACAATGAAGACCCAGTTAAAATTATCATATAACATAAATTAGTAGTGAATCCAGTTAGCATAATTTTGCAATCCCCCCAGCTTTGTTCAGTAGAATATGAGTAGGGACAAAGGCAGGAGATGATGGGAGTCATCCAGGAACAAGTATTGGCAAGGCAAGATCAGTAACAGGATAAGAGGGCAAGAGACCTGACAAAAAAATTGAAATGATCCATCAAGAAGTCATGATGGGGACAGCTGCAGAATGAGACAGTACAGCTAGCCAGAGATTACTCGAAAGAATGAATGTACAAACTGTTTGGAAAACACTTCAAAAATGAAAACCCAGTTGATATTACTTGGGAAATAAACAGCAACTTCAAGTTATTTTCAAAACACTTACCTCTAATGCCTGCATTCGTTTTAGAAGCACTTTGTTTTCAACATTCTTGATCTTTTCTTCATAGAATTCCAAAAATGTCTTTTTGTAAACTAGTTTCATGTTATACTTCTTTGCCATTCTGTAACAAATAAATAAATAAATAAATTTGCGATAGCATAGTAAAAACATACAGATTTTGAATAATGTGAACTTCTATGCTACAGTGACATCTTCAGGTTTCAAATAAAATAACCACTCTCCTTAGAAATGAAAACACAATATAAAATGTGCTCATTCATCCTACAAGTTATTATCAATAAATCCTAAAATGTACAAAGCCCTCAACTAGGAGCTCTAGGAAATACACAAGAAGTTTAAAGTATAAATACTACTCTCAAGGATATTACATTGGAGTACACAAATGTAAGCACACAAGGTACTTAAACAGGACATTTCACTCTTAAGAATTTGTAAAATACTTTGTCTAACCTCCTTGTTTTATAACTAAGGCCCAGAAACGGAAAGAGAACTAGAAAAGGGAACCACCCAAAATATTAAGGAAATCTGAGGGCTTGAAAGACAAGAGACAAGCCAGGCTAGCAAAAAGGATAAAATTATATCACTTGAAGTTAAGTAAAATAGTTCAAAGAAATAAAACTGCTACTTTCAGAGAGGTAGCAAAATGATAGTACTCATTAATTACCTCAAGAGGCCGAAAATAGGAATATTTCCCCCCCAAAAAAATTTAGCTAAATCAAAAGATTCTAAAATCTACAATGAGCTACCATGTAGTCAATCTTGTCAATAAACAAAAGAAAAGAAAGTTGTGACTCAAAATATAGTAACTGAAAAGCTGATTTCCTTTCCACTAATTTCCACAAATCAAAGGATTTTCAGATGAGAAATGAAGGAATATTTATTTAACTTTTGCAAAGTGTTTTAATTAAACTGTCAAATGTGGCTTCCACCTTATGCTTGATATTTTCTTAAACTTTTTTTTTTTTGAGATTGGGTCTCCTTATCTCACCTATGCTGGAAATGCCAGTAGTCACTCACAGGCCCATATCACTACTGATTTACATGGCATGGGAGTTTTGACCTGCTCTGTTTCTGACCTGAGCCAGTTTTGTTTCTTCTCAGGCAGCCTCATGGTTCTCTGCTCCAAGGACTCACCATACTGATGCTGAACTTACTGTGGACACCCAACTGGCTTAGCCCACTGCAACTCAGAAGACCCATGCTCAAACAATCTGCTGGCCTCAGCTTCCTTGGTAGCAGGGACTACACACTTGTGCCAACTGGCCTGGCATTTACATTTTCTTCCCATTACCACAGGGAGGCAGCTAAATAAAAAACTCAACTAGTTTTCAAGTGCCCCCCAAAATACGAAATGTGAAATTTTTAAGTGTGAAACTTATCCAATGTATACTGTGCTTATAACTTTCCTTATGCTAATGAGGATCTCAGCAGAGATACTTGCAAAATAACTACAAACAGTATACAAAACTTTTACTTGCAGAATGTTACTGAAAATTCTGTAAACCATAATTTTATAAGCTTTTATATTATGCTATAAACAAAAAAAAAACCCCAGCAAACAAAAATCAGGAGTAGTTAATGGAACTATTAAAGAATCTAATTACTCTTCATGTAAGAAAACCAAACAGACCAAAAAGAAGGTACTAAAAGAATGTTTCAGAAAACTGGAAGCAGCAAAATTTAGAACTATACTGAAAAATGAGAACTCTAAAATTCAGATGGTTTGTACTAAAGTTCATTTTTGCATGATATCACAGGGATCTCCAATGCTTAGCTTAGGCTCTACTGATAGATCTAAGACTTTTTTTTTGCTTTTTTTTTTTAGTGAGGCAATCAGGGTTAAGACTTGCCCAGGGTCACATAGCTGGTAAGTGTTACATGTTGGAGGCTGCATTTGAACTCAGGTCCTACTGACTCCAAGGCCTGAGCTCTATCTACTTCACCACCTAGCTGCCCCATAGATCTAAGACTTACCTTGTACACCTCCAATCTGTTAGTTGTCTTCAACATTCACCCCCTCTGCGTGGTTTACCTGAATTCCATCACAGACAGGAAGACAGCCCATATAAATGCCCTCTTCCTCCTATTCTAGCACTTTAGTTAGTACCCTACACTCCCTACATGCCACTTCCAGGTTCTCCCTCTACCACTCTCACTTGGTAATCTGTTCTCCTCTGCAGTTTACTCAATCCATATTGATTAAGATTCTAATGGCTGCTGGCCTCTAGGACACTTTTCCCTCCTTCAGTAAGTAGAGTTTCTCTCCTCTCCAACTCCTACCTTTGTACTAAGGGACTTCAACATATATAATGATACTCCCTCAAATCCTTCAATTGCTCATTTCCCATCCAGCCCACCTCAGCTACACAGAGATAGTCATAGCCCTGATCTTGCCAACACCGCATTAATGAATTCTGAAATTCCTTTATCTGATCATAATCTGTTCTCATTCCACTTGTATTTCTGCCTTGCATACCCTGTAACCTGTTCTTCATCCTCACTATGACCTGCAACCTTTCAACTGCTCAGTTGTTTCCAGTCATCCTCTCTGCACTGGCTACACTTTCCTCCCTTCCTCATCTTGATGCCTTTGTGAACCAGTTCAACTCTACACTGCTATTTTCTCTCAAGTCTCCTGACTCCCTAATCTATTGCCAATCTTGCCCTACCAAGTCTCAGCTCTGGACCACTCCCATCATTCTGTCCTTGCTCTTATGTTCTAATGAACAAAGCTATGGAGAAATCTTAAAACCATTCTTTCTGATTGGGTCCATTACAACTTTGTTACATAACAATACCAACCAAATCTTCAATGAAGCAAGGCAAGCCTTGTATACCTCCCTAATCAAATCACTCTCCCATTTACCACATTTACCTAAATCTTTTCATTCTTCTTCAAAACTGGCATAAGCTCCACCAATTCCCCCTCAAAAACCTTGCTTTATATTTCACTGAAAAAAGTATGAAGCCATTCACAAAGGAATTCTTCTCATCTCATATCCTGCCCCAATATGCTATTATCTTCTCCTTCAACCCTATCTCACACAAAGAGATAGTTCTTCTATATGCACACAGGATCCCACCTTCTACAGCAGATCTATCACTTCTCTCTAGGTTTCAATGACAGTGCTTTCTCCTGGTTTTCCTACTGTCTGACCATCCATTCTCTGTCTCCTTTATTTGATCCTCACTCAAGCTACACCCATTAATCTTGGGGGCTTCCTCTTTTTTTGGGCCCTCTTTTCTTTCTCTCTATATTAACTTGCTTGTTGATTTCATCAGCTCCCAAGGTTTCAATTACCATTTCTACGTGGATAATTCTCAGATGTATCTGTCTAACCCTAACCTGTCACCTGACCTCCAATCTTACACCTAAAACTGCCTATCAGAAATCCTGAATTATTCCCTGTAGACATCTTTAATTCAATATGTTCAAAACAAAATTCATTATATTTCCACCCAAGCCTCACCTCTGCCTAACTTCCCTATTACTGTGAAGAATACCATTCTTCCTAGTTACCTACGCTCATACCCTAGGTGTCATCCTTGACTCCTCACTTTCTTTAATCCTTCCTCTTTATCCAATCAGTTGCCAAGTCCTACGGATTTTTCCTTCTTAACATGCATGACCTTTCTCTCCTGTGGTACTGTCATCACCCTGGTGCAGGTCCTTATCACCTTATACCTGCACTACTGCCAACAGCCTTACCCTGCCTCAAGTGTCTCCCCATTCTAAACCATCCTCTGCTTAGCTGTCAAATTGATCTTCCTGAAACATGCATCTAACCAGGTTATTGCTCCACTCAATAAACTTCAATGGCTCCCTATTTCCTCCAGGATCAAATACAAAATCATTTATTTGCCTTTTAAAGCTCTTCATAACCTAGCCCCTCCCACTTTTCCACACAATCTGTTATGTAATAACATTGGCTTCCCTGATATTCTTCACACAAAACACAGCATCTACTAACTCAGTGCATTTTTACCAGCAGTCCTTCATGCCTAGGATCCTCTACCACTCCATCTCCAGTCTTCTAGATCTTAGGTCTCCATCAGCTCTTAGCTTAAGTCCCAACTTCTGACTTTCCCAGTCCTCTTTAGTCTTAGTGTCTTCCTTATGGGATTATCTCTAGTTTATCATACATGTGTATATGCATATGCGTACATGAGTATGAGTGTATCTTGTCTGTACTCCCAATTTATCATGTATGTATGTACCTTGTTTGTACATAGTTGTTTTCATGCTGTCATCCCCATTAGAATGTGAACTCCTTGGGAACGGGACTGGGTTTTCTTTGGTTTGGTTTGGTTTTTTGCTTTTCTCTGTATTCCTTGCATTTAGCACAGTGGTGTCTGGTAGCTCAATCTGATATCAAGATTTCAGCAAAAGTCTGCACAATGAAATGTTGTTCTTTGTCACAAAAAAAAAATCAAGATCTCTACTGTGTTAAGATTAGCTTTTCTAGTCAAATCATAATTTCATGAGAAATTTTACAACAGTAAGCAGTACAAAAGTACAACTCAATCAAATTCAAACTAGCATACTTACTATGAGTTTGGAAATAAGACTACATTCTTGATTTCTCCCTACTTTCAAGAATACTTTAGTTATCTTTTCCCCAAAACTGGTGGCAACTTTTCTAACTAGAACAGCTAGCATTTATAGAAATGGTGCTTTAATACTTGCAAAGTGATTGACAAATATTAACTCATTTTATCCTCAGAACAATTCTGAGAGACACCTGCTAATACTTCCATTATACAAACAAGGAAGCTGAGGCAGAGATCAAGTGATCTGCACAGGTCATAAAGCCAGTAACTGTCTGAGGCTGGATCTGAAATCAGACTTTCCCAACTTTAGGCCCAGTTGCTCTATCCATGATGCCACCAGCTCCCTCTATCTAGTTTCCTTACCATCTACTACCCAAGCTAGTAGACAACCTTCTGTTATACTAACTTTATCAAAACAGACTTTCAAATGATTTTCCCAACCCAATTTCTTATCTAAAGATTCATCCTTCAAACTACTGCCAAACTACTCTTCTTCATGGCACTGATTATGTTGCTCCCCTAATTCTCTACTGTCTACTACATAAAATGTAAATTTCTTATTCTGACATTCAAGCCTCACTCCCCTAACCTGGTAATACTCTCTACTTCTCCAACCTTATTTCACAGATTCCCTTCCAGTTTGCCACATGCCAATTCAGCCAGTTGCCAAACTACCTACTAACACTATGTATCTAGCATTTATGCCATTATTCATATCATTCTCTTTGTTTGGAATGCCCCCAAATGCCCTTTAAATCCTTAAGTCCATCTCAAAAGTTACCTAGTCCATGAAACCTTCACTGATTTCCTCAGTCAGAAATGATCCTTTCTTTCTCTAGTCTCATACTTTGTACATCTGTGTTGTTCTTATTATAGTCTTTTCTGAATTACAGTTACTATATAGATAATGTGGACTATAACATAATTTGTCTGACATTCTCCTTGCTACATTGTAAGTAAGCTTCATGGACTATGTTTTAATTTTATTTGTATCTCCCCAAGCACCTACCACAGTATTTTGTCACAATGTAAGTGATTGATAAATGGCTGCTGATTTAATTTTAGGAAGCCAAAGAGAAGTAAAAGAACAAGGCATCATAAACCTGGTGACACTAGTATTGTACAAATAGTTACTTTTCTATTTGGCTATACTGCTCATCAAGTCCCACGTTTTTTTTCCAACACTGGCTGAATACAAATAGCATTGTTACCCATATTCCCTCACCCACTTAAACCAGTAAAAGGATAAATTATGAAAGTCTTACTCAATAAGCAAAGGAAAATAAACCAAAAATTCTGGAACATCCACAACACCTTCCAAGTTGAAGTCATATTTGCATCCAAATAAAGGATATTCTCCCTTCTTCTGAAACTTTACAGTGTAGACTTCATTTCCAAATGATTCTGTATCTGATGCCTCAAGCCGTTTTCTGTAAGTTACCAAAAAGGACAAAAATTAGATTGACAAATTTATTCTAATCATTCATTTGAAAATAATAAATCTCACAAAAAGCTAACAATTTAATTAGTTTTGTATATACTGGTTTTGTGATACTTTCAGAGGCAATATAGTTGAATACCAACTTTATTGCCACTAAAAACATTAGAGCAGAGGTGATACTCCAGGTCCAAATAACTTCAATCTCTCCTACATTTGATCTACAGGCAGAATAGCACTACAAACTCCAGTTCTGTACATAAGCAATCCATATAAATAGGCAGGTCATGAAAGTTTGTTTTCAGTTCAGTTTAGTATTTTAAACTTGGGACATAGAAACAATGTTATAAAGGATAAATTAGGTTGTGAAATGAGGTCACAAAACTAAATAACCCATAATTATACCTCAAGTGTAGTATAATTTCAAGTATACATAACCATTGTTTTATAACACTGTTCCTATAAGAAAATATGTTCTGAAGGGATATCAGGAAAGGATCTGCCCCACAAATGTCCACTGATGGAGATAGGTAAGTTCCTATCATATGAAAAGGCTAATAACTTTTAAGCCCCAGTAATTTGTCAAAACTACATCCACATAAGAAAAAGTAACATTCTAGGTCAATGATTAACCCAGCATTCTCAATCAAGAAACAACTTAAGATAATTCCATCTAAACCTATATCCTGGGATCACATCTTGTCCTTTAAAGCCACTGCTTTTACCTTTGCCTAGAATAAACTCTTCTCTCAACCTATTCTTTAAAATTAAGTAAAAATCCCATCTTCATGATGTATTTCCACACCTCAACTACTATGGCACTTCTACCCAATTTCCAATTATAGTTAAGTGACTCATTATATCCCCTGTACTGTTATATATTATTCACAAATCTACAACTTGTCTTCCTGATATGATTTTAAACTTCTTGAGGTCAAAAAATATGATATGTTTATTTTTATCCAATATAGGAGTTTAGCACTATATCCTGTACATTGTAGGGCCCCGGGATTATTCGCAAGTTGACTGGGTGGTCAACAGCAGTAAGTGTTAAGAGGACATAAAAAAAATGAGGGACCAAGAAAAAAAGCCACTGGCTTTGGCAAGATCATTTGGAAACCTGAAACTATTACAGAAAATTCAATAGCAGAGAATAAAACTTAGATTTAATATCTGCTTCCAGCATCCAAGTAGATTTTCTTTATTAAACCACATCCTGGGTAGGATGGTGTTTCATAATGAACAACAGATTTGAAATCAAGATGATCTGGGCTGGAATCCTGTCTCTGCTACTTATTACCTGTGTGACCCTCTGGCAAATCATTTAACTTCTATGGGCCTGTTTCCTTTCATCATGACAGAATTAATATTATGATACAACCTGTCTAATAACTTCAAAAGTTTATAATGCACCTTCCTTTAAAAAGTCACTAGCTTATTTGAGGCTCACAACAACTGTGTGAGAAAGATACTACAAGGGGCAGCTAGGTGGCACAGTAGATAGAGCACCAGCCCTGAAGTCAGAGGACCTGAGTTCAAATTCGGCCTCAGATCAAACGCTTGGCACTTACTAGCTGTGTTACCCTCAGCAAGTCACTTAACCCCAATTGCCTCACCAAAAACAAAAAAAAGAAGAGAAAGGTACTACAAAGAGTGGTTACTACCTTTCCAATTATCCATGTTCACAACACCCACCAGTCATCCTCCACTTTACAGCCACCCCATATATCCAATCAGTTGTCAAGACTTCTCAGGTCTATCTAACATTTCTCACATCCATTCCTGTCCCTCCATTCACTGGACAAAACCCCTAGTCCAGGCTCTTATCACCTCTCACGTGGGACATTTACTAACTGGTCTCCCCATTTTAACTCTCCCTATTTCATGTCATCCTCCACAGAACTTAAGTAATTTTCTTAAAGTACAAGTGTAAATATGTTCTCCTCCTGTTCAAGAAATTTCAGTGATGCCCTTATTTCCTCTAGGGTCAGACCCAAGTTCCTATTTAGCATTGAAAGCCCTTCACAACCTTGCTCCAAAATGCATTTCCTAGCTATTATTATGCATCACTCTTCACAGACTCTAGAGCTACTCAACAGTTCCTTGTACAAAAAACTTTTATGCCCTGGCACATATTACCTGTGCTTGGGAAGCACTGTCACCTATTCCTCCTTGTTTCCTTCAAAGCTCAGATCAAATACATGCCCCTACATGGCTCCTTTCCTGATGTCTTCAGCTTATGATGCTTCCCCACAAAAATTACCTTGTATTTATAAGTGTGCAAGTTATCTTCTCCTATAGAAAAGAAACTCCCTGAGGGCAGGGATTGCTTAATTCTTTTCTTTGTAATCCCCAGTAGGCAGCAGAGTACCAAGCACACTGTGCTTAATTAATACTTGCTGATGATTCTTCTCATTATAAATGAGGAAAAACATGCTTAGAAAGTGCTATTCAATAGGGGGGAAAAACTGGCTCTAGAATCGGAAGACCCGGGTTCAAATTATCAGTGTGACATGTGAGGAATCAATCAACAAAGTCCCCTACTACATGCCAGGTTTGGGGGATACAAAATACAAAGACTGAAACATCCCAGTGCAAAATGAGCTTATATTCTAAAAGTCATAACCTCCCTGGGTCTCTGCTTCTTCATCTGTAAAATGAGAGAATGGAACTAGATGCACCTGATGTCACTTTCAGTCCTAGATGTACAATCTCTATGAAAAATTAATTGGCCTGTCCAGAGACACACGGTTATCAAGTGCTAGAAGAGTTGAAACCAAGTCTTTCTGACTCAAAGAAAGTCCAGTCAATTGTCCACTATATCACACAAACTTTCATGAACTAACAAATAAAGGTTAATAAAATTAACATGTAGTTTACGGGAAGCCAGAGTATCTTACAACCTGGGGAAATCTGACACTGTTTGGTGTATCCCCAGCTTTCAAAATACTTAAAACAAGTTCTGCCTTCATTTAATTCTTAACATGCAAATTTAATTGCTATAAGTGCTTTCTAGAGAGCTCTTTTTTACCTTGAGAGCAAAAAATAAAAGAGCAGTAGAGAGATGGAAAACAGAAAGGAAAATACAGGGAAGATACTCAACAGAAATGAGGGTGAAGGCCAGCTACAGCAGAACTAAGCACAAAGTAGTTTTACATTCAGTTTTAGTGGGTATGCTGTTTTTCACTGTAAGTCTACATAGTAGTGGCTGTTAAATCATGTCATCCTGACTGTGGCTCTTCTGTACTTGAATTCTTTTTTTCTGGCTGCTTACATATCTGAACTAGAAGCTCTATATTTTGGCTATAAGGTTCCTAGGGTTTCTTCAGGAGGTGACTGGTGGGTCCTTTCCTTTGATTCTAAGCAATCTGGGCAGTTTTTGTTTTTCACTGCAGTATTATTAACACTTGTTTTCTTCTTTTTTTTTTTTTTAAATTTTGAGTTCCAGACTCTCTCCCTCCCTTCCCCCTCAACCCACTGACAAGGCAAATAATACATCAATTATACACGTGAAATCAGGTAAAACATGTCTAGATTAGCCATATCACCAAAAAAAAAAAAGGCAAAAAATGAAAAAGTGAGAAAACTATATAGCAACGTGAACTCAAGTTCATCAGTTCTTTCATTGGAGGTGGATAGCATTTTCTCATCATAAGCCCTTTGGAATCGTCTTTAATCACTGTATTGATCAGAGTAGCCAAGACTTTCACAGTTGATCATCATTATAATACTGCTATTACTGGGCGCAATGATCTCCCACTTCTTCTCACTTCACTTTGCATCAGTTCATTCAGGTCTTGCCATGTTTTTTTTCCCCTCCTGAAAACACCACCCTTGTTATTTCTTATGCCACCACAGTATTCCATCACAATCATATGCCACAGATGGTTTAGCTATGCCCCAACTGATAAGCATATCCTCAATTTCCAATTCTTTGGAAAGGTCCTTTCCCTTTCTATTTGATCTCTTTGGAGTACAGACCTAGCAGTGGTATTACTGGGTCAAAGGGATGCACAGTTTTATAACCTTTTGGGCACAGTTCCAAATTTTTCTCCTGAATGGTTGGATTAGTTCACAACTTCATGAACAGTTCATTAATGTACCTACTTTCCCTCATCCTCTGAAGCACCTGTCATTTCTGATGGGTGTAAGGTGGTACTTCAGAGTTGTTTTGCCTCTCTCTAATCAATAGTTAGAGCATTTTTTCATATAACTACAGATAGCCTTGTTGGCTCTACCATTCCAAGATTTAATCTGAAGTGTTATTTTAAAGTTATTTGGAGGGGAACATTTGGGAGAGTTCGGGCAGGACCCAGCCTGTACTCTACCATCTTGGCTTCCCCTAGGCAGTTTTCTTGAAATAGAGTATCTAGGTTCTTTTTGTGGACTTTCAGGAAGTCCAACAATCACTAAATTTTTCTTATGCATGTTTTCTAAGTTGATTGTTTCTGCTTTTTTTCTGTCTTGATTTATTTCTTGTCTCATGTTGTCACTGGTTTCTGTTTGGTACTTCTAATTTTCAGAGTTTGCTTGGACAAGGTTTTCTACCTCTCATGCCATGGGGTCATTCTCTTCTGACTCTGTGACTTGGTGCATCCATGTCACCATAATAGTTTTCTATGAAGGGATTCTTTTTGTTGTGGTTGTTTGCTTTTCTTCCAACCTACTTCCTAACTAGATGTTAGAGCTGAGTTCTGCACACTTTTGGAAGAAATATCTGTGCTGATCCCATTCCTGCTTTCTTGGGGTTTTGAGTGTTGTTATTCCAGGCTCTCCAACTGAGCTCAGGCTTGAAATCTGCAAGCTTTCAGTGCTCTCAAAATGTTTTGATCCAGGGCAAAGTCTGAACACTGTACCCTGGTCTAAATTCTGCATGTTTCTGACCTAGATTTGGGGGTCTAAGCAATAGCAGACACTATTATCCAGCTGGAAAGCTCTGCTGGTTCAGAGCAGCAGAACTGCAGACTCCTCTTTGTTCTGGGATTCCTACCTGGTTATTCTACCATGGGCTTCACATTGGGCTAGAAGCTAAGACTGATACCCAGCTCCACTTTTGAAGTCCAACCACAATGCTGCTGCTTGCTTCTGAACTTGTTCTTCTCCAGGTATATGGTCTAGGGCCCACTCCCAAGAATTCTGCCTCCCAAGGCTTATACCCTGGATCTTTGATCTAAGACTGAGGAGCAGGTAACAAGGCTATCGGCTTGCCCTGGTGTACAGTCAATCTCTCTGTGAGCACCAGAGTATTCTACATGGCTAAGCCTGACCAAACTCCATCTCCCCATCCCCCCATCCCTAGTATCTGCAGATCTGTCTGTCCCCCTATGCCAATGAGGGTTGAAAAAATGACACTGACTTTTTCTTGGATTTTCCCAAAAGGATTAGGTCTGGCACATTTTGTAGATCAGTTTAGAAGAGCTAGCAGGGGGAGGGGGAAGGCAGAACTACTCTACTTTATATGCTTTACTGACTTTCCTACTTTCTTCTTTTAGTTAACATGACTAAAGTTTACCAGAAATGCATCTTGAAATGTAAAGGGCATGCTTTGGCTTTAACATTTTTCTACCTTTAATTTCCCATCTACTTCTCTAAAATAAGAAGTGGTTAAATCAAAAAAGAAAAAGAAAACCATTAGATGGCTTCCTTCCCATATAGAGAAATTTCATCTTCCTTTGTTTTATCATGTCCCCAAACGATGAGACTAGGCAAGTGCATGAAATCTGACATACATCAAATAAGCAAGGAAATATTACAACATGCCAATAAAACCAAAGATATTAAACAATCACACAAAATTTCTAATCAGTTTCCTATACTGATATTCTGCAAACTGTGCTCTTTTAAATCAGCAAACTGAGGCTCAATATATAACTATTCTAAGTGCATATTCTAAATAAAGATCTGATGACTTATTTAACTTTTGCCTTTAACTACAGCAATGAGTATATTTCTATTTCATTTGTTAGATCTTAATATGACAGAACATTAACAGAAAATCATGCTGAAAAACAACATTTTTAAAAGTGTACATATTCTGGACATTTCATAAACTATCACACACAAAAAAATACTTACATGAGCTCAAAGCTATTTGGTGTAGTACCAATAAAATATCCTCCAGGGCAAAGTTTCTCACAAGCATTTCTGAGCATCATATCAGCCTGCTCATAAGTCTCAAATGAATAATGATATACAAACTGACAGCTGCAAATGTCAAAGCACATCTCTGGATCACGAAATTTATCTGCCAAGAGCTCCTAAAACAAATTCAAACAGGTTATGAATTCAAACTATAAAAGCCTAGATATAAAACTTTCTCCAAGTTGAAAACAGAATTTGAGAATGTAGAAGGTAAAAAATTTCAAAAACTTTTCAAAGAACTTAAGAAATATAAATCAAATAAAACACTGCAACAATATGAGAAGAGACTAGGAAAATTAATATTTTAGAAGATAAATTGTTAATCGGATAAACTTTATTTTTCTTTGGTTAGGTAAATAATTTCAATTCCAAATTGTATTTAGAGGGGACAAGAAGAGACTGTTAGAATCATTCTGTTAGAAAGGATATTAAATAAGCTAGAAAATATCCAATGGAGGGGAGACCACAGTGCCTTACAAATAGGCACCTGAATGTTTGCTGAATGAACAACCAAGATAGGGACAGGGTTTAATTAAATGCATGCCACACAAGTATCAGATGAAGGAACCGGGGATGATCACAGAAAGAAGACTCCAAGAGATAATAAAAAGAAATCTTTCAAATATCTGCAGGGTTATTGTTTGGAAAAGAACAGAATTAGAACCTGTTCTGCCCGACCCCGGACTGGGCAGAAATAAGAGCAATGGGTAGAATTTGCAGAGGCACATTTGGGGGAGATTTAAGAAACAACTTCTACTAAGGAAAACAATTCAGAGGCTGTATGGGTGGTCTTCTTCACTGGAAATCCTGAAGCAAATGCTAGATGAACTTCTGGGTCAGGATGTTTTGGAGGCATTCCTGTCCACGGATACTACCACTACCTTGCTCAGACTAAAGGACTCAGGATGATGTCCAATCGAGGTTCTATGTGAGATGACAAATATCAGCAGTTTAAAAAATGACTACTGAATGGTAATTATTCCATCATTAATGATTTCCCCTTTTAAGGTTATTATAAAAATGAATTTCAGGTTTGAAATGGATCTGATTGAGGAAAAAAATCTTCAAACAGAAACTAAAGCATAAGTTCACTTGAGATTGAAATAACTGACAAAACTAAACAATACTAAAAATCAATTTCAGTGTTGGGGCAACACATAAAACAAGTAAACAATACCTTTGAGCTGTCTGCAGTTACAAATTCTGCACTGAAAATGTACTCATGGTCACGACAGTGATTCTTCATGTCAGCATAGCGCTGCTGACACTGTTGGATGGAAACATCAGCAATATCTACATAGAAAAGCTTCCAATTAAACGTTATTACAGACCAAAACAAAGAATAATGGCAAGATGTAGAGGCAGAGTGATGACACAAATCTCAAACAGTAATCTTAACTGTGACTCTTGGTATATAGTATAGCTTGGGTACAAAACCAATTTTATATCCTTCAAAATAAAAAAGAGTTTGGAAAAGCCTTTATTCTTATGCAAAGGCACCTATTAGTTTACTGTTTTTTAAAAAGGGACAAAAAGTTTTAAGAGGTAGAGCTTACTATTTAAGTTCTTAGAATCAACACAAAAAAGATGAGTTGGTTTCAAAGACTATGGTCTAATCAAAGTTACAGTAAATAGGAATATGATGAAGAGGAAAGCATTGCGTCAGTCTGAATTCCAATAGGAGGACATTCTCTGCACAGTATTCATTACCCCATTCTCACAGATATCCACTTTTGATTATATTCTGCTTAACATCACCATTCTTCAAAAACTACTGAAACGATCTTCCTAAAACATGAGATTATATAAGTTTGGGTTGTCAAAACAGTGAGTAGTTCCTTGACACTTTCAACATTGAAATACAAACCTCTGAGCCTGGTTATTTTTAATCCACCACTATGGGGCTCCAAACTACCTTTCTACATTTCTTTATCTCCTGCCTCTGTCTGCCTTCCATGTTTGGAATGCAATACTTCTACTCTCTACCTCTCTGAATCTTTATCTTCCCTGTCCCCAAGTTGCTAGTGCTCTCTTTCTCAAATGATCTTGCATTTATTAAGTAAGGTGTTCTCTTTCCCAGTGGAAATGCTAGCTCTTTAAAGGTAAGCAGGGACTATCATTTTTGTCTTTGTCTCAACAGAGCCTATTATGGCACCTTGAATGTAGATAGTAAGAGGCTAAAAGTTCAATTAAATAAAAAATCTTAAGGCTAAACTAATCTGTAACTTCTTTATTATTTACACCATCTCCTTTTGCCATTGTGACCAATGGCATGCGTTTACAACATATCTGGCTATGCCTGAGAATTCAGCACCAGGCCACAGAAAAACATAAATGGACCACAATGGGAAAAAAAGTCATTACTTTTTCAATATCTTACTTTAAAAGCATCCCTAAAGCCTTAGTGTATTAATTAAAGTGCATCAGAGTCTCACTATAACTTGGTCTCTGCGATTCATGCCTTAATATTTTAATTATGAGGTCCTTGCATCATTTCCAGTTACCTGACTCAGTAGAACCGTTTCTAAAACAATTTATTTCCTCTTACCAGTACAAACTAGTTTGCTAATTTTGCCCTTTTTCCACTTGAGCAAATCTCCACCTTTCCCGCATCCCAGGTCCAACACAGTGATGTCACGTTTCTTTTTCTGTCGCACTTTTTCTAAAAATTCCCCTGAAAGGAAAAAAGAAAAAGTAAATCAAATACTTCACTTAACTTTTGCCAAAGCATTGGTTGTTGCTATAACCTTCACCTGTAAAAGACACATGAATCATTACATGTTTAATTTGCAACTTAAAAATAAATTCAAACCTACAAAAATAAAGCTGTCCCTAAATGGGACAATAAAAAATCACGTGTTTGGTACGGCCTTAAAAGAAAGCGTTTTGAAAAATTGTCTTAAAATTCTCTTCAATTATATACATCTCAAATCCTGATGTGTAAAATGATGATTTTTTCCCCCAAAGTGAGGAACTAGCAATCCATAAATTGTGTTTAAATCTTTTACTCCCAAAGCTATAGTGTAATACTTAACTAAGGACTTCTACTTCAACTCAGTCTTTTATAAATCAAAAGTTATGACTTCAATGTTAAGTTTGAATTCTTAAAAGTCTTATTTTTCAAAGGAAATAGGAGTTTCTCCAATGATACTTTCACATGTTAACAGTCTGATTAAAGTAGAATTCTCTTGGGAACAGAATGAAAGCTAAAGAGAATTTCAAGGATTAGTCAAAAATGACAGTCTAATTAACACTACATCATGATCTTTTCTAAAATTTTAATTATGTTTAGTGTCAACATTCACTTCCATAAGCTTGTGAGTTTTAAAATTTCTCCACCTTCTCCCCTTCCCAAGACAGCATGCAATATCATACAGAATCTACATATACATTCTCATTAAACATATTTTCACATTAGTCTTTTTGTAAAAAAGGAACTACGAGAAAGAAAAAACAAAACAAAATAAAACAGAGAGAGAGAGAGAGAGAGCAAATAGTACACTTCCATCCACATTCAGACTCCATAGTTCTTTCTCTAGATATGGACAGCATTTTCCATCATGAGTCTTTTGGAGTTGTCTTAGATCTTTGCATCGCTGAGAAGAGCTAAGTCTATCATAGTCAAGCCACAATGTGGCTGTTACTGTGCACAATGTTCTCCTGGTTCTGCTCACTTCACTCAGCATCAATTCATATGTCTTTCCAGGTTTTTCTGAAGTCTACCTGCGCATCATTTCTTATAGCACAATAGTATTCCATTATATTCATATTACACAACTTGTTCAGCCATTCCCCAATTGATAGTCATCCCTTCAATTTCCAATTCTTGGCCACCACAGAAAGAGCTGCTATAAATATTTTTGTCTATGTGGGTCATTTTCTCATTTTTATGATCTCTTTGAGATACAGACCTAGAACTGGTCCTGCTGGGTCAAAGGGTATGCACAGATTTATAACCCTTTAAGCATAGTTTCAAATTGCTCTTCAGAATGGCTGGATCAGTTCACAACTCTCAACAATGCATTAGTGTTCCAATTTTCCCACATCTTCTGCAACATTTATCATTTTCCTGTTCTGTCATGTTAGCCAATCTGATAGGTGTGATATGGTACCTCAGAGTTGTTTTGATTTACATTTCTCTAATCAATAGTGATTTACAGCATTTTTTCATATGATTATAGATAGCTTTAATGTCTTCATCTGAAAAGTGCCTATTCATATTCTTTGACCATTTATCAATTGCGGTATGACTTATATTCTTATACATTTGATTCAGTTCTCTATATATTTTAGAAATGAGGCCTTTATCAGAGACACTGGCTGTAAAAATTCTTTCCCAATTTTCTGCTTCCCTCCTAATCTTGGTTTCATTGGCTTTGTTTGCACAAAAACTTTTCAATTTAGTGTAATCAAAATTATCCATTTTGCATTTCATAATGTTCTCTGTCTCTCGTTTAATCATTAATTCTTCTGTTTTCCATAAATCTGACAGGTAAACTATTCCTTGCTCTCCCAGTTTGCTTACAGTATCAGCCTTTATATCTAAATCATGTACCCAATTTTAACTTCATTTTAGTATACGGTTTAAGATGTTGGTCTATGCCCAGTTTCTGCTATACTTTTTTCCAGTTTTCCCAATAGTTTCCGTCAAACAGTCAGTTCTTATCCCAGAAACTGGGGTTTTTGGGTATATCATACAGGACTACTATAGTCACTGACTACTATGTCTTGTGTACCTAACCTATGCCACTGATCCGCCACTCTATTTCTATATCAAGATCTTGGAAAAAAACCTCACATATAATATGAATAATCATCAAACCATACTCAGAGCCCACAGAAATAATCACCTTGTGGCTAAACATCTGGGAATATTCTTAAACAACTGCAATGGTTAGTACTACTGCATTCTATCTAAATTACAATGTAGAAATTAACTTCTCCTTTCTCATCACCTTCAGGATAAAACCTTCTGCTTTGTACAACATAGAAGAAAGTATCATGGTATAACAGAAAGAGCTCTGGATTTGGAAGAATATGTTAACCTAAGTTCCAGATTCAAAACGGCAGGGCCTTGGGAAATCATAATACGGGCTTGTTTGCTTCTCTGTATAATGGCGATATGTAATATCTATCTGCACAGCCCACTTCCCAGGGGTGATATGTTGTATGACTTATAGACACAGTAAAAAGAGCACTGTATGGTGGAGGTGGAGGCACTGCATTCAAATCCTAGTTCTGCCTCATATCTTTGGGACTTTGGACAAGTCACTTAAACCTCTCTGGGTTTAACTTTGCTCAATTGTAAAATCAAAGGATAGAACTAGATGAGCTGATGTCCCCTTTGAGCTTTCAGTCTATGATCCTAAACCAGAAAATGCTATGTAAATAATATAATTACTTGTTCTCCACCTCTGCTGATCACTGAGCAATTGCTTCTGGGTTTCTGCGAACTGTAGATCACAGGACAAAATCATGTTTCAAATTTACCTTTTAAATTATAAAGATCAAGGACTTTATGTCACAGAAATCAAAAATTTCAGATAAAAAAAGGAACTATGTATATATTATATAAATTTATATATGTATGTAAAATTTTCTATATACTCCAAATAGTACAAGAAATAAAAATAAAAATAACTCTGAGGTTTCACTTCATACCATGCAAACTATCAAAGATGACCAAAAACAGTATAACAGTTTATGCCTGAGCAGGGACTCTCAACTCTTTTTGTCTCATGGATCTCTTTGGCAGTCTAGTGAAGCTTACAGCAGATCCTTTCTCAGAATGTTTTTAAATGAATAAAATAAAACCTAAACAAAGGACACTAATTATATTGAAAGTGCTATCAAAATAATAAAAAATAAGAGGAACTGTAGGAAGACAGGGCTGACATTCTGTTAGGGAAGCTGTGAAGTAGTCCAACAGTTCTGGATTATCAATTCAGAATTATGAAAGAAAAGTAACTAAACTTTCCATAACCTCCGACCCAGAGATCCTACTACTAGGCTTAAACCCTAAGGAAGTCGAAGACAGACACAAAGGTCCAAAATACACCAACTACACCAACATTTTCACAGCAGCATTATTTATGGTAGCAAAGAATAGACAGATTGGGGAAGAACTGAAAACACTATGAATATAATGGAATATTATTATGGAGAAAGAAACAAGAAGAGGCAGTGTAGCACAGTAGAGAGTTGATAAGATCATGGAGTCAAGAGGGCCTGGGTGAAAGTCTCAGCTATGAAACATACTGTGTGACTGTGGGAAGTCATTCAAATTTCTCAATGCCCCCATAAACTGTGCAGGACTATAAAAGATACAGAGCAGGTGCATTAATAGATGGCTTTTCCCCATGGGATGTTCCCTACACTAATAAAGTCACAGGTCAGATCCAAAAAGTAAAAAAAAAAAATGAACAAAAAAGCCCAAGGAATTCAAAGAAACATGGAAAGATTTATATAAACTCAGGAACAAAATAAACAGAAATAAAGGAGCATTTATACATAACAACAACAATGTAAATTTAAGCTAAGAGGAAGCTGAACTCTCAATAGCTAAAAAACTAATAAGGATCCAGGGAACAGATAATAGGGTTTAATACTCCCATTTATCACAGGGGATGGATTAACAGCATGGAATATTGTATAAGTTGTCAAGTGTGGCCACCAATGGATGTTTCTACTTAATTGTTTTTCATAAGAAGTTCAAAAGGTGAGGAGTAGGGGGAAGGAAAACTGGAAGGTTTAAAAAAAAAAGGCCATTTTTTTCTTCATAATTTTCCTGTACACTATAAAGTTTGGAGTACTTTAGACTAAAGGTCATTATAAATTAGTTTATTTTCAAATAGTCATTAATTTTATAAACATTACATATTAAAAACTAAGCTATAAATGGATCTCAATAGCTTTACAATGAATAAATATCTAGAAAAGAATGAGAAAGGTTGAAAAAGAGAGCTCTATTCAAAATACAGAAGTAATTAGAATTGAGACTATACTGGCAGGTGCAGAGACAAAAACTGTCATAGGAATAGTTATAGGAATAGCTGGAGGAAAAAAAACTGTCACTTGAGCTCTAGGAAGAGCTTAACTTCAGAATTCAAAGAATATTACAGAGAATAACTTCCTACAAAATTTGCACTATCTTCTTGATGTTACAGCAGAAATTGACACAGGAAACAAATCTAAGTGTATGACTAAAACATGAGTAGAGAGATTGATAAAAGGTTAATAAACTGATCAGGGCTACCATATAAACAAAGCTTAAGCCAAGCAAACAGAGAAGCTGGAAGGGTATATACAAGTGACTATAATACAAAAAATTTAAGAGTAATATCATAGAATCACAAAGTTGGGGGGGGGGAACCGACCTTAGGGGATAGCTAACCTGAACCGTAACAGGAGACTGCAGGGAAGGGGGAATAAAGAATGAAATACAGATGACCAGAAATTCCAAAGGATCTTTTTCTTGGTAGTATCTTTTTTAAAAGCCCCCTATAAACAGTACTTCATGTTTTGAAGCATAATACTAAGTGAGCATTTTCCCTAAAAATCAAGTACAAGTAGTCTCCAATTTATCATTTTATCTACATTGACTGGAATCCAGAATGCATTTTTCCCCCAAGGAAACTGTTATGCCAGTGGATAAGATTTTGCAGAAGTTTTAACGGGCTGTTTTTTGTTTCAACACCAGACACCAAGTCTCCTAACCCCCTAAAAGGTTCTGTTGGCTAGTTCACAATGGCCTGTCTAACTTGTAATATACCTAAAGTATAAGGTACTGATAACAACCACCAAGTGCAACACTGTCTCCAAGGAAAATATCTAAGGGACAAACACCCTCCAATTCCACCATATCTCTGCTGATAAAAGACGATGCTCAAGCAATTACATTGTCTATGCTATTGCTCCAGAAATTTAACCCAACTGCTTAACGGAGATGCTTTCTCAGCTACGAACTCCAGCTACTCTAGGTCACTAACATCATAAAGAACATCAGCCAATAAATGTAAACAAATGGAGCACTGCACCTCCTTTTCAGAGATGAGGGGCTTATTATTAACTCTTTTTTTCCTTCTAACATCTCACTATCAATTAAGTCTCTGTTAATCCCTCCTTAGAATTGAAATTGTTAAGTCCTAAGAGAAGTCTTTGATCATTCTGGAAAGGATAGCTTCAGATCTGAGTACAGAAAAACTTTCTTAATTTTTAACTATATCAATTGCTTTAACTACACCAAAGTGTTTGTTCAATGGTCAATTATGTGAGAGGAAGATAAATAAGACATATAAATCTATAACAGAAATATGATAATCATACCAATGAGGACACTCTTCATCCAATTATTAAAGTTTCGAAGGTAAAAAATACGACTCTGGCTTCGTTTCTCCAAACCAACTTCCTGAAGCTCATTGTAGTGAGCAGCTACTACTGAGCCATGTCCTTCTTCTAAATGCTGAACACAGAAGAAAGCAGGACAATATTAAAACAAGTATAAAACTGAGGAAAATAAAGATTAATCTAGACAAGTGCAGCCAAGTTTAAAATGCAGCTAAAAGTTACGAAATCCATTATTCATCAGTATGAATCCAGACTTCCTTTTTAATGCCATCCTGCTCCTCCTAGTGCTTCACTATCCAAACCATATCACCAGAGACTATTATTAGAATAAGCTATTTGCCAAACTGTCACCTCGCTTATGGTAATCTCCCCACCCCAACAACCTACCACACACATAATCTTCACCTTTTTTTCCTAAGAACTATAATGAAATCACCACTATCACTAACTAACCTAGAAAGGCTTTATTACTAGAACACTACTGATCCACTCAGTATCTTTGTGATTTCCCAGATCATGATACCCTTCCCTGGCCACTACTGCTATATATGTGTGCTGTATATACCCTAGGCAGCTAGGCAAGGGTATGGCTAGAACACAGAAGCTGAAAGTCCAAATCCCAACTCAACCACTTACTAGATATGTAGCCCTAGGCATATCACTTAATTTTGCTTCAGTTTCCTCATGTGTAAAATGGGAATAACAGGACCTACCTCCCAGAGTTGTCATGAGGACTAAATGAGATATTAGCTATAAAGAATTTAGCACATGGCCTGGCACAGGGTAGGCATCTAATAAATGCTTGTTCTCTTCCCTTCCCACATCAGAATATAAACTCCTTGAGAAAAATTGACTGTCTAGATTTTGTATTTTGTATTTATATCCCCATTGCTCAGCACAGTACCTGGAATATGGAGGGCAATTAAATGCTTTTCATTAATTCATAAGAAAGAAGAAATGATTTTTTCTCCCTTCTCAAATAAAAAGCATCTCTATCTTTTAAAATTGTGTTTTCTTTGGTTTATCTAAATTTAGGTTTTAGAACATTAGAACAACACCTCTAAACTTATAGAGTTCAGAAAGAATGCAAGCACTTTAGAAAAACTAACATACTCAACAATAAACATTTTATCAAATGTTCTAAATGACTACTATGTATGAGGCACTGTGAAGTTACAGATGCCTAACTAATGAATAACACTGAAGTATAAAATGGCATCTATTTTTAAGTATGTTAAACTACAATACTGCAAAGCAATGTATGGTTCAATTCCAACTTGAAGTGTCTGACTACCTATGTGCTCTGTTTAAAAAAAAATTCTAAGACTGAAAAACATTATTTCAAAAACAACTTTACAATACCACATTTATTACATAAATTTAAATACAACTGTAGTACTTCATATACATGTAACTTCAATTTCAATAATCTGGATTTACTTAACACACTCTATATTATTAGGGTGCTCTTTACAAACAATCTATAAATACAGCTTTGTTACAAACAGAAAGCCAAAAATGGCAATGTTAATAGTTTATTGATTATTATTAGCCCTAAGAGATCTTTCTTAACATAAAAACCAAATTTTCTACTTCCTGTTTCCCTTGTTCCCTGAAGACTAAGCGACATTCCCATACATCATCTTGAGGAGGGCAGTAGTGTGCCAAGACAAAATAGTTCTCACTATGATGAATCCATGGAGAATTTAGAATCAGGTCCTAGATGGTTACACAGCTCATAAAATTTAAACTAACTTTATTTACTTTCATCTTAGGAAATCTAAAGTAATTACTCTAACATAATCAGCAAATAAGCCTACCTGTAACATCCATTATTGGTGTCAACAAGACTAGACTGTCTTGTGAAACAACCTCAAAAACTACATACTTTTGCTGCCTTAATTCCATTTGGAGCAAAGACTGTAAAAAAAAATTTGTAACCTTAAACTCAAATAACTAAAAATTTCCCAAGATCAGAACTGATTATTTTGATTAGCTTTGGCGGGCACCAAACTGCAACACTGAGAAGGCACATGGAGAAAAAAATCAAATAAATGTTATAGCTCTCTTGAAATCATGTCAGAGAAGGAAAGGAAATACAGCTAATACCAATCATAAGTAATATTTTTAATTATTTAGTAGCTAAACCAGGGGTGGGGAGCCTGCAGCCTTGAGGCCACAGGAGGCACATTAGGTCCTCAAGTGCAGCCCTTTGACTGAATCCAAACTTCATAGAACAAATTCCCTTAATAAAAGGATTTGTTCTGTAAAATCTGGACTTAGTCAAAAGGCTACACCCAAGGACCTAGAAGGCCACCCCTGAGCTAAACACTATAAAAGCATGAGATTACACCAGTATAAAACAAAGAAGCTAAATAGTTCCTTTAGGAATTACAAGGAAATTAAAGTTGTGTTATACCCTTAAATAAATTTTAAAATCTAAATATCTGAAATGCATTAAACTTACTCTGCGTTTCACAGGAATATCTTCACCTTCCAATTTTCTCTTTTTTGAGGCAGTGCCATCTCCACAACTAGAAGTATCATCTTTTGGTTTATCATCAGTTTCTAACTTTCTTGTTCGTGAAATGCCTTCTTCATCACCGGCAGCAGCTCTTTCCTCAAGAATAATTTCATTACCCAACTTTCTTGTTTTTGATGGAGTGCCCTCTCCACAACTGGCAGTCTTAACTTCAGGATCATCCTGAAACTCTAGTTTTCTTTTTTTTGGTGTGCCTTCCTGAACACTGTCAGTGTCCTTTCCACCAGAGGATTCAATTTCATTAACATGACAGAGAGTTCTGTTTTGGAAACCACAGGTACCTCTTCATCTTCAAAGACCTTTTCACAATCCTCTGTTTTTGAAGAATTTTCCATTTTGCTCAGTGATTTGAATTTAAAGCTTTAGTTCATAAAGGCTGCAAGAGCAAATATTTCATGTTAAATATGCATAATGAATGAGAATTATCATTGCTAAATCCTGACTCTAGAGGTAGAGCCAAGATGGCAGATTAGAGGCAGCAACCCAGCTGAATTCTCCCAATATTCCCTTGCATACAACTTTAAAATAACACCTCAAATCAAATTTTGGAGTGGGAGAGCCAATAAAAGGTACACTTCTCTGGCCTGAGAAAACTAAGGAGGTTGGCAGGAGTGTTCTATGACACCACTGGAACAGAGGTCTGTCCAGAGTGTGACAGCAGCCACAACAGCAGCAGCTTCAGGAGCTCTCAACCCAAAGACAGTAAGAGGGTTGGACAAGCGGTCAGAAAGAGATTATAGGAGACCTCATGCAGGTACTTGCACATACACAGTTCTGGGCCACAGTTCCAGGGTGGAGAAAAATGTTTGTGGTCAGTCAAAAGGGAGCAGAGCAAAGAAGAGCAGTAGTACTTGTGGCTGCAGGAGAGCAGGGGCCCTTCCTGAGTAAAGACTAGAAGCACAGTGACCACACCTCTATCCAGATTATGCTACCTTGGAAACACTGAAAACTTTCAGCCCCTCAGCATTAGCTCTGAAAACAGTAGAACAAAAAAGTCTGAAGCTTGAGACAATGTCTCTTCACCCAGAGTTGAGCAGAGCCCAACTTCAACATAAAGTTCAAAGTCAAGAAGTAGGCTGGAAGAATGCACAAACAACAATAAATAAATAAACGAATGAATGAATGAATAAATAAATAGCTTGACCATAAAAAGGTAACTACAGTGGCAGGGAAGACCAAGACATATACTTAAAAAACAACAACAATGTTGAAAAAAGCCACAAGCAAAGCCTCAAACAAAAATGCTAATTGGACCCAAGTCCAATAAGAATTCCTGGAAAAAACTGTTAAAGAACATAGTAGAGGAAAAATTGGTTTAAAAAATAAGGGTAATGCAGCAAGAAAATTATGAAAAGAGAATTAACAGCTTAGTAAAAGAGGCACAAAAAAATTTAAGAAAATAATACTTTCAAAAACAGAACTGGCCTAAGGTCAAAGACAGAGAGACAGACAGACACACACACACACAAACTCACTGAAAAAAAGAACTTCTTAATAAGCAGAACAGATCAAATGGAAAAGGAGGTACAAAAATTCACTGAAGAAAATTCCTTAACAATTAGAATTGAGCAACTAGAAGCGAATGACTCCATGAGACATCAAGAAACAATAAAACAATGCCCAAAAAATGAAAATATTCGAAAATGTGAAATATCTCATTGAAAAAACAAGTAACCTAGAAAACAGATAGAGATAATTAAAGAATTATTGGACTATCTGAAAGCCATGATCAAAAAAGGAACCTAGAATCCTATTTCAAAAAAAATTTTTTAAATGCCCCAATATCTTAAAGAGGATAAAACAAATTGAACAAATCCACCAATTACCTCCTGAAAAAGATCCCAAAATGAAAATTCACAGGTATATTATGGTCAAATTCCAGAGCTCCCAGGTCAAGGAGAAAATATGTGACTGACCCCTAAATCTTTCTCCATTGAGTTCTATTTCTGTATTTTTCAATCTATTTTAAGTTCTCCAGGTGCACATGTTACAAGCATCTCAATTTCAGGTCTAAAATTTAACTGCTAATGGCATTACCAATTTCCTTGTCTTCCAAAGAGAACCTTGTAGTTCTCTGCATCCACCCATTTAATTAATCATCAACAAATCCACCCCCTTCTCTCTCATAGTCTCTTCCCTCTTTATTCCCATTACAAATAATCTAGCTCTAGTCCCTGTTATTTTTCCCTACACCTCCACAATAGTTTAACTCATTTTACTATTTCCTTCAAGGTACTAAGAAGGGCCAGATCCTGGGCCATCACCTTTGTCTAGCCACTGCACTTCCTTGACTAAGAGAGAATGAGGCTGACAATTTCTAGCAGCTGTGCCCCACTCATACACAATTCAAGAGCCAGTCAAGACATTACCCTCAAGATGTCATTGATCCTCTTTGAGAAGGAAGGATGAACACCAGGGGTTTTGCATGTCGTCTCTACACAGAGGGAGAAGGAATTCCTGAGCGGGTGCTGTAAGTTAAACCTTTTTCCACACATGCCTCACTAGGGTAATGGCTGAATTTGTAGGAAAAAGTGAACTAGGTTGATTGAACTTTTTGTATTAACTGTCTTCACCATGTTATCTAAGAGTAGTAGTCCCCTCAGGGGACCCAACCAGCCAATTTAAACAGATGGGGAATTCTGCACTGGCTTTCTTCCCCCCCCCCCAAAAAAAGCTTAGAACAATTTAGTTTTGGTCAGCTTGGATTCATTTTTACTTCTTGAAATATACCTCTGAAAAGACAGGCTTTTAAAAGTCTTTTTAATGGAGCTACCAGACTCCACTTCAAAACCCAAATCACTCAGGCTTTCCTACAAGAGCCAACAATGGCTCCAACCCAAGGCTCAGTGGCTCACTGTTTAGCTTTGGAAGACTCAAGAGTGTAAATAACAATTGTTTTTGGTTCCTGCCAGAAACACAGAGGGTCCTGCCCCTCCCAGACAGATATATTTGTGATGGCAAATTGAGCCATCTTTGGTCTCTACTTAGACCCTAGCGCTTAATCATTGAATGGGTGTGGCCTCAGACAAACAGAGACCTGGGAAAGACCTTAATTTAGAAAGGGGAAGGTCACCCACTATATTCCAGGCCATCACCAGTTGTCTTTATTTTTGTCTTGCCATTGGATTTTGATGACTCTGGAGAAGAGAATGAGACTGAAGACTTTAAACTCTGTCCCACTCATATTCAATTCATCACCCTCCAGATGTCATCTGTCGTCCTCGATTAAAAAAAAAAAAACAAACAGGGGCTAGGATAAGCTTCTCAAAGCTTGTGTCTACTCAAGTCACTCCTTTTGATTAAAAAAAAACCTTCAAAGGCTTTCCAATATTTATTCAAAACATCAGATTTCCTAGAAAAGAGGGAGACTTCCACATTCTGACACCCAATTGGGACTGAACATGCCATGAACCCTCTGCCTCCCCCAGGTTTCTTTGATTCCACTGGTCTTTCTAGAGGGAACTCCCCTCCAATCTCTAAACTTTTACTCTTCATTATTCTAAGCCTGCATTCAAAACAAAATCAAAAACAATTGTGGAAATAATCACCCTCCCTGAAACTTTCAAAACACTGCTTCCCTTCAGTTGGTTTTTATAACCATGACCCCACAGTGTTAAGTAATCTCTTCCTTTGTAGTGTGCACTTTTCCCAGGATAATGTATTGTGATTTTTCCCCACGAGCATGTAACTTTCTTATGACCGGCTTCTTAGCTGTCTTTTTGCTGTTCACAGGGTTTTGCACAAAACAGATCCAAAATAAAAAAGCCAATCTCTCTAATTTAAAGTTGAAAACTTTCAGCCAAATTAGATTTGAGAACAAGAATTTTTTTTAAATGTTAAGGAGTTGAAAAAGGATATCAGAAGTTTTATTGGTTGTGAATTTCATTTACAGGGGCCGACCTTTTCTTTCATTTCCACAGATAAAGAGTTTACCAGATCAAAAACATGTTACAAGAATGAATGATTTAAAATGATTTAAAAAGAGTACTGAGTACATCTTGGAGACAAGAATTACAGCTTCAATAAAAGTTCTCCCACTACTATTGTAGTGGAATTATGGATCAAGAACTTGCCACAAAAACCTCGGAGAGTATGAGGGAAGATAAACTCGAGGCACAAAAACGTCCTGGGTGACCCGAGCAAACAAACGGAAAAGCAAACCCTACAAGGGAGCAATGACGTCACGTCTCGGGCACTATCCCTTTAAAGCTTTCACCCCAGAGCCCAAGGCGCAGCCCAGCCCCAGGGCTGGGATCCGCATGGGCCCACAGGCTCCGCGCTCGAGCCCGACAGGCTGGGGACCCCCGCTGCCCACCGCCGGCTAGCCCAAAGAAGGAACAACCAGTCGGGGACTATACTAGGGGCGTCCCCCAGACAGCCCCCTCTCTCAGCGCGGTACTTAAAAGACAAGACCGGAAGCCGCGGGCTCTGCTCCTCCGCCACTTTCTTCCCAGGCTCTCCCTGCATTTCCGCTCCACCCGCGTTCCCCAAACCAAGGGCTAGAAACTTCTCCTCACCGGCTCTCCCCACCCCGCAGCCGCCCCTCACGCGTGGCCCGAACCGAACGCGAGCCCCGCCCCTCGCAGCACGGACACGCACGCACCGTTCCAGCCAGACTCTGATCGTTCCCCGCGATCCAGCGGCACCCACCCACAAAGCTCCGGGGTCCGGCGCTCGCCCTCCCTCGGGGCCACCTTTGCCGTAGCCGGCTCAACCGCCGCGCGCGCTCAGCCAGCGTCACGTCCGACCCCCCACAAGAACCACCGACTTCCTACTCCACCACATAACACAATCAACGCGGGGCCGAGTAGTAGGGAAGGTGCGCAACGAAAGCACAGCAGAAATGCAGCTCAGGATAAACGATGCATGCTCTACCTCCGAGACGGCAAGAGTCCCCAAGAGGCGTAGAGCCAGAAAGTAGTAGGCACACTGAAGCTGGAAAAGATCCGTACCTCCGCTGTAACACTTACCTCAGTAAAGCTTTCCGCCATTCTGTTTGCGGAAGTAGTCATTGCGCCACGCTTAGGATGTGACGCAACTTCCGGAAGGCGGGGAAACAGTCATCCTTTCCACAGAACGCATGCGCTTCACGTTTCCTCCCGCATTCGCACTTGGAGAGATGTGCTCACGAAGTGTCTGTTCTTAAGTGAACTACATTTCCCAGGGTGCTGGGCGCGAGCCATTCCCTCGGGGGCTCGGAACTGGGCACCCGGCAGTCGCAAGCACGTTTCGAGTGGGCGAAGCTGGTTGAAGAGAGCGAATGACTTCCTGGGTCTGGGGAGGTTGAGGGGAGGCTTGGCCACACTGGCTTCAACGGGGACCCGGGAGGGAGTTCGTTCCTATCAGTGATTTCCCCGAGACAGCAGCACGGGAAAACCTGCCCTGTCAGTGCTTGCGGCCACGGACCCAACGTCCTCCGAGGTACTTTGGCCCCTGGGCTTCCCGGGGTGGGAGGGGGGAAAGGTGGAGGGGGCGTCGCTGACCAGCGGCAGTGGGGAGAGGTTGGAGCCCAAGCCAGTGCTCGTGGCCAGCTGCTCTAGGCGAGCCTGTGGGGGAAGGGCAAGACCTGCCCTGGTAGGGTAGCTAACAGCCCCGGGGCCCACCCTCCCTCCTTCCTCCTAACTTCTCGTCCTCCTCCTTCCCTCTCCCCCGGAGCAGAGTCCTTGTTCTTTTTCTTCCTTATGCCCTTTGCGCCTTAGCTCTCCTCTCCCGTCCTTTTTCCTGGGCATAACATTGAGAGGGCGCCCCTAGAAGTTTTCTGTTGTTATTTTAACCAAGGACTGGCAGTTCCCCGCATCCTCCTCCAAGAACACAGGCCGACCACCCGTTTTTTGAGTCATAACCACCCTGCGGCCTCCGTAGGGAGGGACTGTCTGATCAGGGCCGGCCCCACGTGCTGCTTCGCAGAGATGGGAAGGGATGTGTGTGCTGGACCTCGCGCGTCGTGCCGGCCGGGCTCGGCCACTGCTTGTTTAAAGGGAAATCACAACTTTGTTGAGTCCTCAGACTCCCACGGGAGCGAGAACCCACTTTATTCCAAATTTGACAGACTGTTTCAAACGACCGGCAATAGAGATAAACCAAATCGTTGGTTGATTGTTTATATCTAGATGTTGAAACCTACCTCTCTCAGCTAAAGGTTGTGAAAATATGGTCAGCTTCAAGATTCATTTTGAATTATTTTACCCCCAAGGCCGATCTCATAGTCTTAAAGCAAGCTTTAAAAAAAAAATGCATTTTATCTCCCTGTCAGGAAAAAGTTTTTCAGAACTATATTAATAAGATGTTATCAGCATTCTGTAAATGAGAAATTACAAGCCTGCATGTACTTATATTTTCAGTTTAATTACTCCTCGATATTAAATAACTGTGTACATACAGATTCCTCATAAACTCTGATTCGGGAATAAGACATTGAAGGGAATGCAGACTAGACATTTGCTTCATTTAAATATTTTGGTTGAACTATATTGACTGTAAATTGTTCAAGATGAATTTTGGTATTTGTGAAGAATTTATGAATTTCTATGACTAGAAGGAGAAGCATGAGAAATTTACTTTGCTTCTATTAATAGAGAAAAACTTTGAAGAGTGTGAATTTCTCCTCTCCAATGTGTAATTACCAGTGCTAGTAGAACCTGCTGTTCTTAGTGGTTCTCAGTGTCACATGTTTCTTAGAAAGCAAGTTTTTCATTGCAAACTACATATGACATAAACATTGACATTTAAGAATATATATAATATGTAAATATGAAAGAATGAAAGAAATCCTTCCCAAGTATGGGATATGATTTTGAGAGAGATTTTTATATGTGGAGCTGGACTTGGAGTTAAGGAGACCTAAGTTTGAAATCTGTTTCAGATTCTTTGTATTTGTGTGGTTCTGGTCACATAAATTAACCTCTCTGAGCTTCTATAAAAAAAGGAAGATAGTAATAGCACCTACATCACAGGGTCATTGTGAGATTATGTTGATCTACAAACTTTAAAGCCCAGTATAACTGTGAACTGTTCTGTTTTGAGTCTGGGAAAGGGATAGCAAGAAGTAAGACATTTGCTCCATGAAAATGTTTGAATCAGGTGCTGTTATGTCAATTATAGTCATTATTATTAATTAGAGGAAATAGTTTGATGTAATGGAAAGAGCATTAGACTGGGCATTTGGAGACATATGCATTAGTCCAGTGTTTGCTGATTGCTTGACTTTAAGCAAGTTGCATATTCTCCTTGAGCTTCAGTTTCCACATCTATAAAACTAGAAAGTTGTACAAGATAACTAAAAATTTTTTTAAATAAGTTGATGCCTATCTTCTCCCATTCTGACAGGTAACTTCACAGAAACTCGAAGTTGAAGGGACCACAGAGACCATCTGATACAATCCATACCTTCCTCTCTGCAATATACCCTACAAATGGTCGTCTTGCTCTAACTTCTCCAACGAGGCCACATAGTATTTCCAAAGTAAGCCCATTTCTTTTTGGGAAAACTAATTTTAAAGAAATTTTCCCTCAAATTAAATAAGACTGTGGAGTCTTAGGCAATAATCTGAAGACCTTCAGGGCACAAGTGGTTGTGTTTGTTTGTTTGTTTTTTGATCATTGCTTATGGTGAGGATTTAAGAAGAAAGAGGAAGATTTCACAAGAAGCTGCTGGATAAGAAGATATTCTCTGAGAACAAGATTAGGATTTCTGGACCATGGGCTCCTGGCCAGGAATGAAGTATCCCTAAAGAAGGCTGTTAAAAATGTATTTGCTCTGGGCAGCTAGGTGGTACAGTGGATAGAGCACTGGCCCTGGATTCAGGAGGACCTGAGTTTAAATCCAGCCTCAGACACATAACACTTACTACCTGTGTGACCCTGGGCAAGTCACTTAACCCCATTGCCTAGCCCCCCAAAAAAATGTATTTGCTGGAATCTTGCAATCCTGATCAGAGAAAACTATCTACCTATGTCTACTGTACATATATATGGGTACATGTATATATGTGTGTATTCTCACACACATATATACACACACATCTACTATACTGTACAGAGAGAGAGTAACTACAGTATTGGGCAGCTAGGTGGCCTAGTAGATAGAGTGCAGAGCCTGGAGTTAGGAAGACTCATCTTGAGTTCAAAATATGGCCTTAGACTTTTATTAGCTATATGACCCTGAAAAAGTCATTTAACCTGTTTGCCTTAGTTTCCTTGTCTGTAAAATGAGCTGGAGAAGGAAATGACAAACCATTCTAGCATCTTTGCCAAGAAAACCCCAAATGGGGTCAAGAAACAACTGAAAAGTGACTAAACAGCTGCAGTGTGGAAGATGATTAACAGTAAACCCTCCTAGAAATCCACAAGAGACAAAAATTCAAAAAAGGAACCAGCAATAAAATACATGGACTCAGATGCATGGCATAAATTAACAATGCTTAAGTAACAAGCAAAGCGGCCTACAGATTGTAGCAATAGAGTCCAAAATTACCCTTAGGTATCACTGAATGACCTGCGGAAGAGTAGATGTTATTCAGAAGGAGCAGAATAGATTAAAATGAGGGCAAGAGGGAAACTTTGTATATCAAGTAGATAATACTCAGGTGAGGAAACCTAGAACTCAGAAGGGGAGAACATTTGGGTGAAAATCAGAAATTTTAAATCTTAACTCGGACACAGTAAGTGGATGTCAAAGGGTAAATCACATAACCACTCTGAGATTTAGTTTCCTCATCTATAAAATAAAGATCACAGTAGCACCCAGCTCTCAGAAGTTCAGCTGCAGAGCCAATGGCAAGACCCAGGTTACGTTCCCAGCAGGTAATGGGAGATTATAAAGAGATCTGGATAGGAAGGATTCAGGGTGGGACCATTGGGAGAAGTAACCCCTCAAGATTCTGGTGCCAAAGCCCTGTGTTGGTTTCTGGATAGAAGAGGCTTTGACTGGGGTGAGGGGGAGAAGAGAGACCATTACAGAGGGATCCTAGTATTTTCAGTGTACTTCTACCCACCCATGGCAGCATTTGGGTGGATGGGAATTGGGCCCAGGTTATACAGGTAATAAGTGACAGAGCTGAGATTTTAATCCAGGTCCTCTGGTACCACACATATGACTCTTTCTATTGTACCAGCTCCCCACCTGCATTGGATCTCAACCTAGTTTTGTTTTTTCCCACCCACACAGCTCAAATGCTACAGTATAATGTACTTAATTTCATTTCTGTCCTGTTGTCATACATATTATGTGACACTTACAAATTGTATGTCCCTGGGCAAGTCATGCAACTTCTCTCAACCTCAGTTTCTTCATCTGTAAAATGGAGATAATAATAGCATCTACCTTACAGGGTTGTGAGGATCAATGAGATCAAAACATGTGGAGAAGTTTGCAAACCTTAAAGCTGACATTTATGCAACACTTACTACTTGCGAAGCACTGGAGTAAGTGCTTTACAGTTATAATCGCCTTCAGTCCTCACAACCCTGACTGGTTGGTTCTGTTGTTATCCCCATTTTATAGTTGAAACAACTGAGGCATCCTTACTTAGGGTCACACAGTTAGCAAGGGTTTGATGCTAGAATTTTAACTTAGATCTTCCTAACTTCAGACTCTGGGTTCTACCCACCTTGCCACCTAGCTATCCATCCAGTAGAATGAAACTGTTTAAGGAAGGGACTGTTTTTCATTTTGTCTTTGTATCCCTAACACTTAACACATTTTTCAGATAGAATCGTGGATTTCTATCTGAAAAATGATTATTAAATACTTGTTGAAGTAGATATACTAAGGTGTCCTTTTGAGCTATGCTTTTGAGCCAGTGTTATAAATTGAATACTTTATGATGCCTGGAATTGACATACTCTTTGATAATGGTGAACTGCTTCCTGGCTGTGTTTGCTGTCAGCCTTACAGTTAAATGTTTCTGTGAATACCTAATTGCTGTAGTAGCCATAACTGGTTAATTTTGTTTTCCAACTTTTAAATTTTAATTGATGACTATATTAAGAATAATTTCAAACTAGAAAATATCAGCCCTGCTTCTGTTACTAGAAGCACGCCAGTATTTTCTATAAGATTGATATTTTCTATATTATCTAATAACTAAGATTTTAAGGCAAGTCAGAGCTAATCTTAATATCAATGTACAGGCAAACATTGGCTACAATCTCTTTGTAGATTTCAGTAATTGCCACATCCTAGTTTAAGAAAATGCCTTTCAATAATTTTTCTGTACCCTTTTTTGGGGGGCATTCAACTACAGTAGAACTCGGTTATAAAATACTGGCATTGAAAGATAGCATCCATATTATAGATTTTTCATGCAATAGTATGATAAATATACTGAAGATATATATGTATGTGCCGTATATGTATCTCACAGGAATGTAATGTGACCTTTAGTTTAACTATATGTGGGAGTGTAGCTATAGATAGATAGATAATCTTTTATCCATTATATTTTTGGTCTTGAATTCCTCCATCATGTTGTTTTTTAGTATTTGAAGATAAAAATTCTATCAATATTCATAAACCAAGATTCTGCTATGAGATCTTTTCCCAGGATTGACCTTGAAATTTAAATTATAGAGTACTTGATCTGAACTTCAAATTATAGAGTGTAGAATTGCATAACTTTGACAACTCTGTCACCTGGTAGCTGAACTGGGGGTAAGGAAGGAGGGCCTCTTCGCACTGGGGATATTTAGCAACCTCTCTATTACTAAGCCTCATTTTGTGACCTTCAGACTTGGCTGCTGTCCCTGCATTAAATGTTTTAAATCCCAGGCATCAAGGCAGCTAAATTGGTCAGACCTTGAGTTCTGCATGTGTATAATATTTCATTAGAGAGCTGTAATAAAGTCTACTTACCTCATAACTAGTTAATTGTATATATCTGTGTGATTGATTATAACCTGCAGTAATTGTGGAGAGGCAGAACCAAATAAATTATGCCTCTTACTCTAGTTTAACTTTTTCCAGGGCACAGAGACCAAATGGTCATCTTTTGTATCTCCAAAAGACCCTAGAACCCATATTTTAAGTCACAACACAGCAGAAATGATCAGCAATTACTTACTGAACACTACTTGACTCCTTACCATCAGTAATTCAGAAAACTGAGACAAGATTTTACAGTCTAGCTATGTATGTGACATCTCTTTTTTAAAAAAGCAAACAGAATAGGGCATCATCATAAATACAAGTGGTACAGACAATAAATGTAATTGTTAAGAAAAAGGAGAGAGTTTTGTCTTGGAGTAATCAGAGGAGATTTCATGAAGAACATGATCTTACTCTGAAGATATTCTGTAGAGAGGAAGAACCATTATTTGTGGATGTGGAATAAACGTGTAAGGATTTGGGGAATAGATCTTTTTGGCCATAGGGAAGTAATGGAGAGCAATAGGTTGGGTTCTGATTATGAGGTTTTGGAAGGCAGGATAGAGTATTTTGAACTTTATCCAGTGATTAATGGAAAATATTTTGAAAGTTTAGGAGCTGGTATGACAAAGTAAAAACAATTATATAATAGTTAATCTGATGCCGTTGTATAGAACAAATTGGAAGGACAGTAGTTAAGAGGCTATTGTAGCTGTACAGGTGTGAAGTATTTGGGACTTGAAAGAAAAGGTGTGGTAGCTGTGAAGATGGAAAAGAGAGTTATTACCAAGAAGAATCAGCAAGACTTGCTGAATTTCTGGCTACAGGATCCAGGAAAGGTGTGTCAAAGATGAAATTTCAGGGTTTTGAGCTTCAATAACTGGGCAATTATATTCTTTCATTCATTTGTTTATTGGACCAGATCTGTGCTTTTCATCAAGGTAGGAAGCTCCAGATGAGGTGTATTCTCAACCAAAGAAGACTCATAATCTGCTTTGCCATTTGTAGTCTTAAAAATTGCCTGAAGTGAAGCCAGCTAGGTGGTGTAGTGGATAGAGCTCTGGCCTTGTAGTCAGGAGGACCTGAGTTCAAATCCAGCCTCAGACACTTGACACTTACTAGCTGGTGTGACCCTGGGCAAGTCACTTAACCCCAATTGCCTCACCAAAAGAAAGCAGGGGGAAAAAAGTTGCCTGAGACACTGAATGAGTAAGTGACATAACTAGTATTTGTCAGAGGTAGAATTTGAACCCAGGTCTTCCTCGGTTCAACTGTCTGTCACTCTTCAAAGCTTCATAGTAACAATAAAAATGATAATAATGGACTTCCACAGTAATAATGCAATTTGTATAGTGCTTTAAAGATTATAAAAGTTTTTTGATTTGGGGGTTTTCTTATTTGTTTGTTTTTTCCCATAGAAACCCAGTAAGGCAGTGTATTAAAATGGAAAGGATGATGATTTTGTATTCAGGGGGTCTGGGTTCAAATCCTGGTTCCTGCTACTTACTACCTTTGTGATACTAGGCAATTCACAATCCCTCAGTCCTCAAGTTCCTTAACTGTAAAAGAAAGTGATTTGTACTAGATCAGGGCTTCTTAACCTTTGTTTGGTCCACAGACTGACCTCCCCTTCTCTCTTTCTTTCTTTCTTCCTTTCCTTTACCCCAACCCCTTCTCTCCAACCAGGTGTCCTTGAACTTGAGGAGGGGGCTATATCATTATTTCAATATAATTGGTTTTCCCTATAATCTTGTTTTTTATTTTATGTATTTAAAAACATTATTCCAAGAGGTCCATAGCCTTCACCCCAAAGGTTTGATTGCCAGTCTGGTACTTTTTCTACAATATAATTTTGAAATAGCCAAACTAATAAAGAGGAGAGTTTGTTTGGGGGGTAATGTGGTTAGTTTTAGGTGTTGAATTAGCAATTGGAATTGGTGACTCAGAAAGTCTCCTTGGAGTAGTGAATTGTTAGCAAAGACTTAGTGGAAATGGAACTATTAGAAAGAAGAGTAGTGATTACTGTGATTATGTTCTGAGTTAGAGAAACAAACAGCATGCACAAAGGGGGTCTGGGGAATAAGCTTGAGCTGAGACTGACGAGGAAGGAATGCTGAGTACATAAGCTATATGCAAACTAGATCATTGAAGGGTCCCTGAAGAGAGGGGATCATTCCATAAGGTGGAATGCCACCTTAGGAACAGAGGTGCTCCTGGTGCCTTTTCCTCAATTTTCCCGATGGCTCTAATTGAGTGGTGTTTCCACTTTTTTTTCAACTTTAGGATTACTAGCCTAGGAAAAGTAGAGCCTTCACAACACTATTTTCACCATGACAATAAGGTAGGGAAAAATCTTTTGAATCATAAAATTGTTGAAACTGAAAGTTGGAGGGGCCCTTGGAAATTGTCTTGTAACAGGAATTCTCTACAACCTCCCCAATAAGGCAATGCCTTTGCTTGAACACTTACAGTGATAGGGAAGTCACCCTACTTTATAAGACAGTCCATTTCATCTTTAGACTTTGTCTCCCTATAAATCCCAATGAGTCCTGGTTCTAGCCTCGGAAACCTAGTTGATCCAGCCTTCTTCATGACAGTTTTTCCGATTCCTTCATCAGACAGTCAATAAGCTTTTATTTACTATGTACTTAGTACTGTGCTAGGTGTAGTTCATAAATTGAACTGCCTCTACCTTTAAAGAGTTTAAATTCTATCCAGAGAATAAAATTTGCATATATAAGTATATACATAATAAATCCAAGGTACTGGAGTGGGGCGCTGATAGTTGAAGTTTACTCTATAGAAAGCATTAAGTAGTGTGGTGTTTACTAAGGCTGATTTGTCTTTTCTTGCCCCAAAGCAGTGAGTCCTCAAGACTCTTCCCACTGGGATGAGCTCTTAAGTGTCATGGTCCACTTACTTATCCTTCCTACTTCTGATGCCACTACAAACAAAACATCTTATGTGGCTTTTGCCTAGGCAATAGTAACCACGTTCCTACTACCTACATGACAGAAATATTAATTTTTCTGCTGTTTGTTTTGTTTTGCAGTAGACCACCAGTAATCTGCTGATTGCACTGTGAGAACCACTGACCTAGTGCAGTACCCATGGGTATGGGAACTTAGTAAAGTTTAATGGATGATGATGCTAATTTTAACCCATGATCGCATATTTAGAGCCAGAAGGGATCTTAGAAGTCATCTAGTCCAACTCCCTCATTTTATAGATGAGGAAACTGAGGCCCAGAGAGGAGAAGTTACTACCTGTTGACCTTGAGCAAGTGACAGAACCAGAATTTGATTGCAGGCTATCTAACTCTACATCCAGCACTCTTTCCACCGTGCTGCATCTGATTCTTTGGAGAGAGGTAAAAATCTAAGTATTTTGTGTGAAAGGAATTTGCTAGTAAAGTTGAAGAATGATCATTATACCTTTCTCCTTGATTACTTTAAGAAATGCTTGTAAAGCTGCAATTCCACAGGAATTCACAAGAGGGCATATGTTAATTTTTTCTGGAAAAAATTGAATTTGATAAGGGCCAAATCTTAATTTATCAAGATCTTGTTTGGCTCAAATCTGCTATTATAAACCTTCCTCCCCACCCCCCATATGTGTATATGCATGCATGTATATATGACATATAAAGGAGGTGGATTATTAGCCTGTAATAAAAATTAAATAGACTATATTGAATACATTTGGTTGGAGGAAAACAGTATGCTTGCTTTTTTTTTTCCCTGAACATCAAATTAAATTTGATTTAGTGCATTAATAAAGGTATGATTAGAATGAATGTGTAAATACCTCTGAACATAACCAATTTCTTACATTAGAATTTTTATTTTTATTAAAATGAGGCAGTAAACACATGGAAAGAGTTTAATTCTTTTTCAGTATATCTATTTTGATAAAGTAATCAGTGTACCAAGTTTTAGGTATTGATAAATATTTAAACCATCTACGAGCACAAAATGTTCATTTAAATATTAACTGTAGAGTTAAAATCAATAGTTTAAAATATTAAATCAAACTCCAGTGTCTTTATTAAAATGGCATTGGTAAAGAAAATTTATGTAATGTTACCCCAAGTTTAACGTATTGAAAATTGACTTTGTGTACTAGTGATTTAAGTTTATCATATTAATGAATTCATTGATATTTATAACAGGCCAGAACAGACCTTATTCAATTGTTGCTCTTTTTTTTATTATTGTCTGTGGCCACAGTAATAGATACTAGTGTCGATCTTTAATTGCTGAAGAAGAGAATTGACCCTCAACAATAATTCCTCTCTTGTATAAACTTGAATTTATTTGAAGGTTTTGCCAACGGTATGCCATTGGAGCAGCAGCACATGATTGCTGTTGAGGCTGGAAGAAAGTATTTCCAATTAAGTAACTGGTAGCTGTAACTTAAGGACTTTGATTGAGAAATTCTTGAAGTGATAATCTAGCTTTTCACAGCATTGTTCTTTCTTCAAGTAATAGAAAACTTTTCTTTCTTTGGAGTAATTTAGAATAAGTTTAGAAACAATTTGAAAATTGAAAAAGCAAGAATTTTTTTTTCAATTGTTGGAATAAAGTTCCTACACAAAGTCGTACTCTGAATCCTCCAGACTGGGATAGGTTTTGAAGGCATTGCGCACATTCTTGCAAACATTATCGTTATATAATAATAATAGTAACTAACATATAACTTTAAAGTTTGCAAAGTGCTTTAGATGCATTATGTCATTTGAACTCCACAACAACCCTATTAAATAGAGAGAGCAGGAGTTATCGCTGTTTGGGGAATGAAGAAACAGAGACCCATCGAGGTTAAATGAATAGCCTTTGGCCACATATCTGATAAGGATCAGAGGCAGAATTTGAACTCAGACCCTCCTTATTTCAAGATTCTCAGTCCCAGGTATCCCCATTCTGCTTTTGCACTAATGGTGATAAAGTACAGAGAGTACTAAGCATGAAACAGTTTTTCTTTAGCTCTTATCACTTGAAATATAAGATCCTGCTTGTCTAATAACCTATCAATAATCATGCTACTAAAAGTGACTAATATTAAGACTAATAATAAACGTGAAAACTGAAGGAAATTGTGAGTAAATGGAAGGATGTCTTACAAGCTTGGAGAGGTAAATAAAGGAATTGGAAGGGTTGTTTTATTTGTACATTAAAAGGCAACAACCACAAAAAAAAATTTCCTATGATACTTGGTTATCTCATATCACAGTGCTTAGGATAAGCATTTGCAAAAAGACCACTTTAAAGATTATTGTAGCTTATGAGCTTATTTTTCCTTTATGAGAAAGCTTTTCAAGAAATCAGATAATCCAAATTAAATTAATATATATATGTTTTAATACTGTATGACTTTGATGTAAAGGAAAGATAGTAAAAAATATGTTGGAAAACATGATTCTTGAATAAGAAATGCATAAAGCCAAGAAGTTCAAAAAGAAACACAGATAAATAGCACAAGTTTGGTACTAGTGTTTTAAACAATATATCATTTTAAATTCTACATAATAGTTCACAGAATGTTTTTCCTAGTCTCAGGAATTAAAATGTTCATGTTTTTAAATTCAAAAGAAAAAAATACATTAAGATATTATATAAATCCTTTCAGATCTTTTCCATTTTTCTTGCATTTGTTTTCTTGGCATTTTCATGCTTGCATGCTCCTGTCATGGTTTAGCTTGAATGGGTGCCCTGCTTTCTCTAAACTTGTTTTACCCTCTGCTGGTTCTTGATGGGTTTATAAGGGGATATTACTAATAATTTTCCACCATCCTCTCAGGATTTTATAAGTTATTCTAAACTAGTATTGTCCTTTTTTGTCAGTGCTGGTTTTGCAAAGTGATACAGTTTCTAGATTCTTGTGGTCTCTTCTTTGTGGCAATCAATTTTTATCCATTAAACTTTTTTAGGAAATGTTGGCAGTCGGTCAGTATCTGTTCTTTTAGCCATTTCCCTTTTTTATTAGCAGCAGCATAAGATTAACAATGCCTCAATTTGGACAGCATGTCCTCTTATTCATATTCTCCTAATTTAATGTTGAGTTTGATATTTAATGTAACATGTCATTGGTCTGACCATAGCAGCTGAACTGGGATTATTTGACCAGTTGTTTCCAATCTGTTAAAATATGTTTAAATCTCTTCTTTAAAAAAGTATAAAAAAGTATTCATGACCCATAGGCATGAGGCTTCTATATACCATTAATAGCCTCTGTCTTCTATTTCTCATTCTAGAACCATGTTTTAAAACAACAGTATTTTTCACCATTCTCTCCTATGCCCATCTTTGTATTGAAGTCATGCAGTAAAATAATAAAGTAAATGCTGATTTGATTTGAAGTGTCTTACTGAATTCTTTTTTTTTTTTTAGGATGGGCAGTGGGGTTAAATGACTTGCCCAGGGTCACACAGCTAGTAAGTGTTATGTGCTGAGGCTGGATTTGAACTCAGGTCCTCCTGAATCCAAGGCCAGTGCTCTATTCACTGCGCCACCTAGCTGCCCCCTTACCGAATTCTTGATGGAATTTCTTTACCTTATCTTCTGCAGCCCACATTTGCATATACTGTGATCATCCTAATAATGGTCTTTTTTAAATGAGTATCATGATCACTGTTATACTAGATAAGTTGTCCCAGGAAATACTTCATATTGCTTTTGGATGCACAATAAAATAACCTGTTTGCCTCTCTGCCATCCTCCCAGTTTGCTCACAATTTCCTTTGGTTTTCTGATTTATATTAGCAAGAATATCAAGATAGATATGATTCAGCTTCTCTTGTAGTGTAGTCATCTGTTGGATACTGGACAAGAATTTCACATTTAGAGTACCAACTGCCAAGTAAATGTTTACAAATACCCTAAAATCTGTGTGATTCTTTAGCACCTTCTGCCCCCTTTTCCTCAATTGCTAACTTTACTGTAAAAATACACTACACAGGACTGAGGACTACTTTTTATTTTTTTTGTTTCATAAGTTGCCGTGACTGAAGAATTCATCACTAATTGGCCAGCTTACTGATGACAGTCTTTCTATGCTTAAGTGGCTTGACTCAGAAAGGAAACAGCTGTTAGTGAAACCTTTCAAAACCTCTTAAGATAATATCAAACAAAAATTGGGTGCTTTTTATAGAAAAAAGAAATCTTATTACATTGAGACTTTAATGTTTACTTTATTATGCTGACCTGAGTTTATGGTTTCTTCTGTAATTTAGTGCTTTCTTATATTTTAATCCCATTATTATACTGACTAGGTCAGCCATGCCTTCAATTTATTGAGCTACCTTATGCAAAGGTTTTGAAATGAACAATTGAAGAACACCTTTTTTTTTCATTTCAATGTGTTGGAGGATTTTTAAATCACAATCTTATATTATCTCAGTTGCACCTTCAATGGCTTAAAATCTAACTAAAGAAATTAGAATTGCCTTACCTTCTCTTCAACTTTATCTTCTTTCTCAAGAGACCTATAATCTCTTGGGAAAGTTATCATTCCCATACTTTCATACCTATGAAATTCTTTGTCATCTTTCTCTATCTCAGGATGCAGTGGCCTACCTTCTTTCCCTGGCTAACTCCCTCATATTTGTTTTTCATTCCTTCTATTCCCTTTTCTCCTCTAGATAACTAGTTTTACTGATAATCTCCTGTGTTTTTCTTTCATAATCTCTTCCTTTCTACCGACTTCTCCTCTTCAGCCTACAAACATGTTTTTTAGATCTTCTCCAGCCTAAAAATAATTTACTTTAAAGGGAAATAGTCTACATTTGCTTCTTTACCACCAATTCACAAAATCACAGAATTGGAGAATGTAAGGGACCTTAGGAGGCTAACTCGTCTAGTCTAATTCATACACTTACATAGCTGTCCATTCTTTGTTTAAAGACTCTCAAGGAGGGGAAACCTACCACATCTACAGGAAGTCCATTCTGCTTTTGGATAGCTCTAATTATTAGAAATTTTTTCCTGGCATGAGGTCTCAATTGACCACTTTTACAACTTCCACCCGTTGTTCCTGGTTCTGGATTCAAACAGAACGGATCTAATCCTTTCAGATATATGAAGGTAATTATCTTGTCTTACCCTAGTCTTCTCCAGGCTAAATATGCCCAGGATCTTCAACTGAACTTCATATGTTATGGACTTGAGACCCGTAACCATTCTGGTTCTCCTCCGCTAGCTGCTCTACAGCTTATCAGCATCCTTCTGAACTGAGCATAACGTTCCAAATCAAGACTGAGTGCAGTATGACTATCACCTTCTTAAACCTGGAAACTGTCTTTCTCAATAATAACCAAGACCACATTAAATTTTTTTGCCTGCCACACCATACTGCTGACTCATTGAGCTGACAATCCTGAAGCCTCCAGATCTCTTTGAGAACTGCTGTCCAGTCCATGCCTCTCTCATTTTATACTTTTGAAGGTGATGTTTTTATACCCAAATGCAAATCTTAACATTTATCCGTAGTGAGTTTATCCTTATTAAATTAAACCCCAGTGTCCTAGCCTGTTAAGATCCTTTTCGATCTTGATCCTTTTATCCTCTATATTAGCTGTGCCTTTCAACTTAGTGCTCATCAGGTCTGTAGACTTGATGAGCAAGGCTTCTGTGCTTCATTCAAGTCATTCTACTAGAGACCAACTATTTTGACACCCAACCATTAGCAGTTACTTTTTGAGTCAGTTCTGAATCTACCTGACTTCACTATCATCTAATCTGTATCTCTCCATCTTCTCCAAAAGAATGAGATCCTTTATTGACAATTTTGCTAAAATCTGGGTAAATTACATCCACCACATTCCTCTCACCTACTAATTTAGTAATTCTGTCAGAAATGGAAATTAAGTTAGTCTGGCATGACCTATTGACAAATCCATGCTGGCTCTTTGACATCACAGCTTCCCTTTTTAGGTTTTTACTAACTAGATATTATGTATTCATTTATATTGTATTATACGTGTGTGTGTGTGTGTGTGTGCATATTTATGTGTATACATAAATGTATACATGTGTATATATACACACACACACATTGTAGATATTATATATCCATTCTGTAATCTTCCCAAGTATTAAAGTTCAGCTACCTAGCATCTAGATTACAGATTCTGTTCTCTTCTGTTTTTTAAAAATTAAGAGACTTCCTATTTTCTGGTTTTGTAGTACCTCTCCCATCTTCCTGGATCTTTCCAATATTATTAACAGTAGTTCAGTGATCACATCTGCCAGTTCTCTCAGGACCCCAGAATGTAAATTTTGTCTGGGCCAGCTAACTTAAATTCAGTAAGGGCAGCTAGGTGTTCACTTGGATATCAGCTCCCTGTTAGTCGTTTTTGTTCAGTCATATCCTGTGTAAAACTTGTTCTTTTTGCGGAGAAAAGAGAAACAAAATTAGAATTAAGCATCCTTGGAACCTGAAAAAACTGGCAGCTATGATAGCTGGGGCTACTGTTGGTGATATTGGAAAAATCAGGGAAGATAAGAGAGGTGCCACAAAAGGGAATAGAACAGAGTCTGCAAAGTAGAGAGAATGGGAAAACACCACAAGTTGGGAGGCTTTCCACCTGACACCTGAAATAGACTTGGAATAAGGAAGAAACCTGGGTTCAGGTCCCATCACTTAATATTTACTGGGTATGTGACCGTTAGTTTCCTCATCAATGAAATAAGAATAATAGCCAAAATTCAAGTGAGAGTAATGTATCAAGATTGTAAGCTTCTGTAAAACAGTAACCTCTTGCAGAAAATAAACTCCTTCAGGTCAAGGATTGTTTTGTTATTGTCTGCATCCCCCCACCTAACTGCTTTACTCATAAAAGATACTTAATAAGTTTGTCAATTAGATTGATAGATCAAAAGTTCTTTGTAAACCTTAAAACATATGACATAAATATGACATAAAATGGTATAGTATTATGCTAAATATTCATTATGTTCTTGAATAATTCACAAAAGGTTAATTATATTCAAAAACCTGTTTTACCAGGAAAGTGAAAAATATGTTTGAAATTTCCACTTAAAAGGTTAAAGTTTTAGTATTTAAAGGTGAGAAGGGAAACTTTCTGTTGACCATCCAGCATTGTTGATAATTATCTATTATATTATCTCTCTTCTTTTTCTGGACCTATCCTCTAATGTACTCTTCCAGACATGTAGGTATAAATGCATAAGACTTTGGGGTTCCCTTTATTACCACCTTTAAAAGATGAAGGACACATGGTAAATATATACTATTCTTTAGGGTGTGTGTGTGTGTGTGTGTGTGGTTTTCACAGAACCTAGAAAGAGATGAACATTTTGTTCATCAGATATACTGACATAGATGGAATCATAGGAAACGTAATCCAATGCCTCAAATAACTTAAGGGTTTTTTTTTTCCCTCATGAAGACTCCAGGCACAGTTTGTTTTATTGTAGTTAGGTTATTGAGTAAATAACTATATAGAATGATATTTGCCATTCACAGTAGATCTTAGCACTTGAAAACTTTAATATTAGCTTTAGCAGAATTGGAAGAAAATGTTCTTTTATCTTCTAGTACCTGCTTACTAAGTTTACTTTAAAATTATACCATGTAAGGTATACAATCCAGCTTTCATATTTTTGTGTGTCTGTTTTTAGTCTAGTCTCTGTAGGAACTGAAATCAACAACCACCGTTCATCAAAATGCAGTGGAATTTAATACGGACTGTGTCTCAACTGGCAAATAGAACATGTTTGGTCTCACATGGGGCTGGTTCCATTGGGCACTCTCAGAGCATAAAAGGCTTACTTAAAGCTTGGCCCAAGATTGTTTTGGTGCAGGGTCCTCAAAACCATTGGCTACATGTATCTTCTGCACAGCATATCTCAAAGGAAAGGAAGCCAGTAGATGTTTCTCACCATAAACAACAAAAAGAAGAAACTTCATCAGAGAGGGTTATATCATCTAGTGGCACAGCCCAAGGAATTCATGCGGAGAAAAAGGAAGATCTTGATCCATTACAAGACAAATCTAGTAGTCTGTATCAGCGATTTAAGAAGACATTTAGACAATATGGAAAAGTTATGATTCCAGTACACTTAGTGACTTCTGGTATTTGGTTTGGAACATTTTATTATGCAGCCTTAAAGTAAGTTATTCTTTAAGACCTTTATAGTATCTCATTTTTTTCGTTATTTGTGATAAGCTTAGGTCTTCTTTTTAACGTGATCTCTGGCCTACTTTAGATATCTTATTCATAATCTGGTAGTGTGCAGAAACTATGTATCTTTTAATAAACACAGTATTCAAAGTATTGCAGAAATAATTGAAGCAGCATGGTACATTGGAAAGCATACTATTCTTGGAGGCTCTAGTTCAAATCCTGCCTTTGGCATTTTTGAATTATATGAGTTTTTCTGAGTCTAATACATAAAATGGAGATTCCATTTCAAAAGTGAGAACCATTTATCACTTTGGGAGGTAGTGGGTTCCTTCACATTGTGATTCTTCAGTTGAAAACTAGACACTCATGTGGTGTATTATAGACAAGATTCCTTTTTTGGGTGTGGATTAGACTAGATGGATACTAAAGTCCCTTCCATTTCTAAAATTCTTGGATAATGGTATCTATAGCATCTACCTCCCAAGACTCTTATAAGAATTAAATGAAATGGTATATGATAAAGTGATTTGCAAACCTTAAAGTGCTAAATAAATGTCAGTTACTAATTTCAAAAAAATTTTTTCAGGAATATAAAGACACATTGCTGTAAACATCAGTTCTTTGTTTCATAAAATTGTGGTATTTTAGAGGTAGATAGGACCTTGGACATCATTTAATCCATGTCTCCCGTTTTATAGATGAGGAAACTTAGGCCTACAAAATTTCCAAGTTGTTAAAGTTAGTAGCAGCACCAGCATTAGAACCCAGGTCTACATAGTGTTCTTTCCAATATGCCATGTGCATACTGTATGAATGTAAAACATACATATATGTATGTATATACATGTATGTGTGTGTATACATATATAACATATCTTGTTTGAAATACACAGAATTTTAGCAAGATTTTAATTCTTAGTGTATTTGTTAAAGCCTGCCTATGTCTACAACAGAAAAACAATAGCAAATTAATGATTTGTACCTTATGTTACACATTATGTTATGCTGGTAGTTGCTTAAATAAGCTATTTTTGCCTCAATCAAAAATAAGCTCTTGAAAGTTTTTAGTGAGCCTGGCTTCCTGGCCTTGTGAAAATCAACCATCCTTGTTAAATGCTATCTAATCCTCATTTACTAATGAAGGTAAATGCTTTTACTTAAACAGTTTTAGAAACACCAGCATAAATGAAAACATACATCATGCATATGCCAATTTCTCATCTCTTCCTCTGACATCGCCACCATTCTGCTGCTTTGTCAGCCTTGGACATAACTGTTAGGCCTTTTTCTGATACGTATGCCCTTTTCTGTGATAGATAAGATAGACTACTTATTTAGTGCTTCCTATGTACTAGGCTCCAGGGGTGGAGAACAGGCCACATGTGGCCTCGAGGCCACAGGTTCCCCACCCCTACAAGTTAGGCACTATGTCAACTACTAGGGATACAAATACAAGAAAGCAAGACAGTCTCTGCTGTTAAGGAGTTTATATTCAAATGGGAGAAGACAATTCATATAGGGAGACAAAGATGGAGTTCTCTCTGAGGAAAGGCAGGCCCCAGGGTAGAGGTTTCCCAGAGCAGCAGCATCAAAGGAGGCTAGGAGAAAAGGAGATCATCTTCAGAAAGAGTAGAGGCAGGAATATGGTAACACATGGCTGGGTCCTTCATGAGATGGTAGTACCAGGTAGGGTCACCAATGAAGAAAATAGGGCCCATGGACAGAGGTCATCATCTAGCCTTTTTTTGGACCAACAAAAGAGCCAGAACTTTCTTATGGAGAATAGTATGTTTTCAGTGCTGGATTATGTACCAGCTATATTAAACTACAGAAAAGATGTAGGGTCTAGATTAATTCTACAGTATATTCAGGTGTTGCTATCTTGTTGTTTTTATATGTGAAATTGACTGTTTGGAAAGAAAAAATTTCGCCATTATCACAAGACTACTTCTACCCAAGAAAATGAATTGGATATATGCATACAGACTAACTAACATACCAGCAACATAGAATTAAAGAGGTGTAATTATCAATGTTGATTTCCTCATCTGCAAAATGAGTAGGTTGGATTAGGTGACCTCACCAGGTAATGTCAGCAAAAGGTAGAATAAAGGTTTGTCAAATTTATGTAGGGCCTATTTTTAAAAACCTCAAAATTCTTAACAGATTTAAAAGTTTAGGATTTTCTTTTGCTTTTTAAAAAGTAAAATAAATTTTCACTTCAGTCATTTATAGATAATGGAGGCCAGATATTGGCATCTCCAGTTTACAATTGTGGAAACAGTAATAATGGTTGTATGAACAGATGTTCAGAATGTATCTATTAATAGTGGCAGATCTTCATGGAGAAAATGCAGGTTTCTTAGTCTTTGCTATGATTTTACATAGCCCTAGATAATATGAGTAGAAGGCAAAAAAACTAAATGATTATCTGACCTTGTGTGGACAAATTGATCCAAAGTTTTCACTTCTACCTACATATTTTGATGTGATGTAGATACAGCCTAAGTACAAGGGTTTATATGTTACAAAACCATGATGCCTCTCTGGAGAAACAAATGAAACCCTATATAATTTTATTGGTATTGTTAAATTGGACTAACAGTTGTTCAATTGTGTACAACTATGCATGACCACATGGACTTTTTTTTGTCCATGGGGTTTTCTAGGCAAAAATCCTGGAGTGGTTTGCATTTACTTCTCCAATGTATCCCCATTTTATAGATGAGGAACTGAGGCAAACGGGGTAAAGTGGCTTGCCCCGGGTCACACCGCTGAAATTGGCTGGGCTGAATTGAACTCAGGTCTTTCTGACTCCAGGCCTAGTGCTCTATCCACTGCTCTACCTAGCTGTTCTTTAGAATTACTATGTCTGGTTATTGCGTCTTTAGGAACAGTTGAACCTCTTTATGATAATGCTGGTATTAGAAGATAATGTTGCTTTATGGAGTCACCTTGTTATTTCATCCTTTTTTTGTATGTCATTCAGTCAAGAAATAAGCATTTATTAAGTGCCTACTATGTGCCAGGCACCAGGTTAAGCATTGTAATTGTATCTGAGAGTCATGTAGGACCATACTATCTCCAAATCTGTAGTAACAAGTCACAAAACATAGGAATCTATTTGAGAAGGGATCTGACTTTCCCCTTATGTTATTAGAATAAATGAGTTTGGACTTGGTAACTTAAGGCTCACTCCAGATGTAAGATTTTATTATTCCAGTAGAGTTTAATCAAAAGTAGAGGCAGAAAAGACCACTTGAGTGGTTAAGATGATTATTTCAAACAACCTTTCTGGTGGTATATTATCATTAATGATAATTATAAAGATTTTTGATAAATGTTTAGTCATTTACATATGATGTCAGGGAAGAATTAATCATTAATATTATAGAAATTCATACTGGGAAAAATCACAGAAAAGGATTTATGTCACTAAGCACATATAACCAAATAATTTAGGCCTCAGATTCAGTGTTCTTTTTTTTTCAGCTTTGTTAAAATCATGGATAATTGTCTCTGGTTTCCATATGTTTTTTGTGCCAATGTTAAACTACCCATACAAAAACTAAAACAGAACAGAGTTTAGAGTAACTAGGAATAATATTTTTCTTTTTTAAAAGAGTTAGCTCTATAGATTATTTGGTTACATGTAGGCCAATTATGTTAGACTGAGGTTCTTACCAAACTAGGTAGAATACCAATACATTTTTTGATATTAGAATATAAAATGACATTTGCATTTTCAGTGTATCTTTGTTTTAAGAGACTTAATGTAGTGAATTCTGGACTAGGAGTTAAGAAAACCTGACTTTAGGTCCCACCTCTATCATCTATGTCAGAGGTATCAAACTCAACAAACCCAGATTACAGTGTAATTGGAAAATGTTTTACAAAGTAAATAAAAATGTAATATATCATAAATAATGATAATTTGTGGTTTTCTAAGTCAATATGCAGCCCTCAATCAGTTTTTGCTACTCTTAACACCATTCCTCTCTGTGTCCCTGGCCTAGACTCAAATTCTCTGAACTTCAGTTAAAATAGAAATAGTAATACCTGTAGAACTTCTTAAGCTAGCTTACTGTGATACTTAAATGTTTATCTGGACCATACACAAATCAATTTTTATTAACATTTAAAAGTTAGTATATAGTTCAGTGCTGTATATTATTTTATATTCTGTATGTGACTTAAAGGTAAAAAGTAGAAATAAAGAATTTTGAATCAAAATAAGCACCACTTGCCAGTAAAACCAGAGAGATTGCTGATTTCCTCCCATTTGCTTTCCCTGCTTTAGAGAAAAGAGGATACTTTGTGTCTTAACAGTCATTAAAAGACCATACTGCTAATTTTTTCCCAATAGAACTGCCTAACTGTATGATGATGAACATAAAGCTAGCTTAATCAATTTTATTTTCTTACAGCAAAAACACATGTATTGGTTTCAAATATTCCTATTTGTGAAATGTTTAACAGCATACTGCCATAGGAACTTACTTTTAGTCAGATGAAAGTTGTGGTCAATTTTAAAAAATAAAACAGAGATGAATTATATTGTTTCATAAAACTTTTCAAGAATGTTAGAATTTGTATGTCTGTAAATTGTTCTCTTTTTTTCCTTTACTAGAGGAGTGAATGTTGTTCCTTTTTTGGAACACGTTGGGTTACCAGATAGCATAGTGGGCATTTTGAAAAATTCCCAAAGTGGAAATGCACTAACTGCATACGCCTTGTATAAGGTGGGTATTTTAACAAACACATTGAATCCTAGATCTAAGTGATATACATAGTTCTTCATAAGTTTCTTTGTTGATCTGAAACAGTATTATATTTTAACTTTCATGTTTCTACAGTTTAAAGTTCTTTTTTATCTCATAAAATGTTAATATATTCATGTTAGTTTTAGAATAAAAGGATAGGTCATTCAAGGCTTACCAAAAGTAAGATAACCAGATATGACTTGACAGATTTCTGTATGTTTCACCATATTTGTGGACATTTCCCAGAATAGTCTTAGTTTTGATACTTTTTTGGGGGGAGGGGGAACTAAGCAGTGGGGTTAAGTGACTTGCCTAGGGTCACACAGCTAGTAAATGTCAAGTGTCTGAGGTCAGATTTGAACTCGGGTCCTCCTAACTCCAAGGCGGGGGCTCTAATGCTACCTAGCTGCCCCTGGTTTTGATACGTCTGATAACCTCTCTTTGCTAAGAAATCTGCATTTTACTTTGTTAAGTCAAAGAGCAGGAGAAGATTTCATATAAAACTATGAGTATTGTAGTTTTAAGTGTGTGTATATGAAGTTTAATGTGTTAGCACAATAGTCCTTGTCTGTCTTCATGTATACTTCCTCCTGTTCTCTTCTGTATTTTTGTGGGAGTTTTTGGGTTTTTGTTTTGTTTTTAATGTTTCTTGGCTTTCCATTTTTGTTATCAATATCACTAAGCACCCACTGTATCTATCCTCCATGACTCTACCCAGAGGGCCCTCCCTCATGCAAATAAGCATGGTTAAGTAAGACAGATCCATATGTTAGCTGTTTCTGAAAATATATGTCTTGGGAGCTAGGTGGTACAGTGGATAGAGGACTGGCCCTGGAGTCAGGAGAACTTGAGTTCAGATTCAGCCTCAGATACTTGACACTAACCCTGATTGCCACACACACCCACAGCCACACACACACACACACACACACACACACAAAATGTGTGTGTGTGTATATACATATGTATGTGTGTGTGTGTGTGTGTGTGTGTGTTGTGTGTGTGTGTGTCTTATTCTCCATCTCTAGCCCATCAGTTTTCTGCCAAGAGGTAGGAAGCTTGCTTCATGGTTAGACTTGTGGAGTGCTGTAATTGTATTTATCATATTTCATAATTCTTTCAAAATTGTTTTCCTTTACATTACTATAGTCATTGAAAAGTAGTTCTCCTCACTCTGCGTTAACTCATACAAATCTTCCCAGTTGTCTCTGAATCTGTTCCTTTTATTATATTTTATGATACGATCATAATCCATCATATTCAAATATGTAATTTGCTTGGCTGTTCACAGCTGATGGGCACCTACTTTGTTTGCAGCTTTTGCTACAATAAATCATATCATAAGTATTCCTGTACATATAGGTCCTTTACATATACCTGTCTGAGATATATACCTGGTAGTGGTATTGCTGATATATATAACTTAGTGACTTGGATATAGTTCCAATTTGTTTTCTAGAATTGTTGGATCAATTTACAGTTTCACCCACCGTGCATTTGTGTGCTTTTCCTACCACAATGCCTCCAACAATTGACATGCCCTTTTTTTGCCCTATGATATGCATGATTCTTACCAGTTTTTCTCTGTAGCTCTTACTGTAAAAGAAGATAATAGACAGGAACCTTAAGATGACAATTTTTATTTTGCTCCTTCTTGAGAAATAAGCTACAATTTTTGTACTAAGGGAAAGGCCAAGTTTTTACTGTCCTCTGGTTTCAGAAGATAAGAAGTATGTATATAGCTCTCTAATTGTGGATGAGAGGAATGAGCAATACCTTGAAAGTAAATAAAATTCCATAAAAACATTCACTCAATACTCTGCCTTCAGTTCTTTGGTTCTAGCTCTTGGTATTTTTGGTTTTGTTTTTTGGGGTTTTTTTCCTTGCAGAGTCTTAATTTAATTTGAATTTTTAGTTGTTAGCAGATTGACTTTTTTTTAAGGCATCTAAGCTTCTGAGGTGTTTGGGGCGAGTTAAGAAATAGCTGCACAGATTTTTATTGTTGCTAACAGAGTTGTATTATTTTCTGCTTTTTAATTGTTGGAGGTGAGGGAGAGGCTTTTCCAAGGTTTATGTAGCAAGAATCCCAGTTCTCTTGATTTTTAAAGTACTCTATAAAATTTATCTTTTTGATGTGATTTGTTTGCTACCAAATTCCAAACTCCAGAATATTTTGAAGGAGCGCATAGAGTTTGTTAGAGCTGGAAGGGACATGAGGCCTGTTTTTTCATTGTTATAGACTTCCCAGTGGTGAAACTCTGTCTGCAGTTTATAATCTTAGGAGACTGTTGCCTGGGGACTTGTCCTGAATCAGTTAGCCAGTATGTGTCGGAGGAGGGAGTTTAAAAACCAGGTCTCTTCAAGTCCTGGGCCAGATTTCTGTCTGTTGTACCACTATAAAATTATTGCTATGTAATATACAAAATTCATTTTAGGAAACTAAAAGGTTTATTAGATGCACAAAAAACTAGGAGTGTGTGTGTTATTCAAGAAGTATTCATATGGAATATACACATGTAGCTAATTCACATCAATTCTAAATGACAGTGGCACTCTTTAACTTTATATAAGAAGAAACATGTTACAGTGGAATTTGGAGTCTAGAAAAAATCTGAATTTAAAGACTGTCCAGGCTTTACTAATTCTGTGGCCTCGGGCAAGTCATTTACTTTTGTGAGTCTCAGTTTCCCTCATCTGTAATAGCTAACTCAAAGTAGAAAAGATCAAATGAGAAAATGTATGCAGAGTGCCTTGTTAAACCTTAAAATACTACATTTATTATAGTAATTTTTTCTTTGACACACTTTATATTTGTAATCTGACTTTTTTTTTTGCTAGCATGCATTTGCCTTAACTAATCTACCCTACATCTGCTGCTTCTTTTAAGATTGCAACACCTGCCAGATACACTGTGACTTTGGGAGGAACATCCATTACTGTCAAGTATCTTCGTAGTCATGGCTACATGTCAACGCCACCTCCAGTTACAGAATACTTCCAGGACAGAATGGAAGAAACAAAGGACCTTATTACAGAAAAAATGGGAGAAACAAAAGATAGACTCACAGAAAAACTACAAGAAACCAAAGACAAAGTTTCATTGAAGAAAAAAGTGGAATAGGAAATCTTGTGTGCCAGGCCACAGAAAAGTCATGCACTTTAACCCTCGGGAAACTGTGGACAAAAACATATTCTCCTAATTATACCTTTGGTTGGCAGTCTTGAAATACTAGTGCTCCAAGGGTTAAATAACCCATAAAACCTTTTTAAAGTTAAATATCACTAGAAAAATCAGTGTTTTTTGCAAAAAAAAAATTAGCCCAGTGTACTAATTTCATACCAGCAGTGGCGTAAGTAATGGTTATTGTTTTGTGTCATGATGATTTTTCAGGTATCTTTCTTGCTGATTTTACTGCCTGCTGTAATGATGACGGACTAAGCAGCTTACTACTTCTATAAGAAATTTCTCTCATAGAAAGGATGGTTCTGTTGGGATCATGATCTTCATGTTATCCATCAGTTAGACTTTTAACCATAATCAGTTCTCAGCATGGAGAGATCTTAGCACCATTATTGCCAGTGAATAAGGGTATTTCTTAATTGTCTCTCAAAATCTCAGAAGTCTTTTGCTATTTAAAAAAAAATAGCAAGATGAGGCCATTCTAATAACCATCTACCAGTTAAAACTTTAATTTTATATGAAGAAAGTTGAATTAAAATTGGGACTATATATGTGATGAAAGTGAGATGTACTGATTATATATAAATGACTAAACAAATTGACATTTTAAAGATAGTTTTGCCTAAAATGTGTGTGAGTCAAATTTTTCAAAGTAAGTACATATGTCTGCAGTTCCTTTTTAGAAATTTAAGTTGGTAACTGTCACCTAGAACATAAAATTTTCCTTTAAATGCATTTTTGTCTTCATCAACTAATTTCTCAGAATAAAGATGAAAATAATTTCACTTGCTGCTAAGCTTGCTACTGAAATTAGATACCTCACAAATTGTGCCTCATGTTTGTGATTCTTAGTTGAGTAAGTTACAAGAGTAGAGAGAAAATGACTTTGGAATCAGTGGGCACCCTTACAAACATTGATTAAAACTTGTCATATTTTAGCATGCAAGTGCTTCTGCTACCCCTATTAAAATACAGTGCTAATGTTCATTTTCTTATTGAGTAAATTCAAGAATCTTAGCTTCCCCCTTTTAGGCAGAAATTTCTGGGTGGAACATTATACTTGAAATTTTGTTGGAAGGATTGTGCCATTCATGTTGTCTTCAGTAGCAATGACTGGAGGAGAATTCAACCGTTACGAAATATTTTAAATGTCATAGTGGGTGTGGGTATGTCTCCTTTGCACAACTAATAATTGGCTTCAATTCTGTGTATTTTTAAAATTGATACTTGAAGAAGATGTAGTATCTATTTATGTCATATTTATATACCTTAGTTGATTGGACAGTAGAATTTGAGTAGTTAAAAACATTATCCCTGGTTCATGCCACTGATTATTATTGCCATTTATGTCTACTTAATTGGAATATTTCAACTTCACTGGGGGGTCCTTGGTAAATTGAACCTGAAGGAATATTTATATTCATTAACCTAGTCATTGTATTAGAACATTTTATAAATTAATATCCCATAAACTTATGAGGATTGTAGTTGGAAGAGTTCTTTCTTATTCTGAAGTGCAGAGGCTCTGAGTAATCTTTTGGTTCTGCTGGTATAGAAAAGTTTAATATAATATAATATTTCAAAATGGCAAAGAACATTTTTTAAATGTTATTTTTAATTAACCAGCTCCCTCTCTTCTCCCCTCCCCCAGTTGAAAAACAAAACAAAAATCTTTATAACAAATATGCTTAAGTCAAGAAAAACAAATTCATTGTCCAAAGCAAGTCTTCCTTATTCTGTGTCATGAGTTCTTTCCCTCTCTGTCAGAAGTTAGATGGAATGCTTCATCATTGGTCCTCTGGAATCATGGTTAGAGTTCTTAAGTCTTTGAAAGTTATTTATGTTTACGATATTGTTTTTGTATAAATTACTCTAGTTCTACTCACTTCACTCAGCATCAGCTAATATGGAGCTTCCCAAGTTTCTCTGAAACCATTTCCTTTGTTATTTCTTAAAAGCACAGTGGTATTCCATTACATTCATATACTATGATTTGTTGAGCTATTCTCTAGGTGATGGACCCTTGCCTTAGTTTCTAGTTCTTTAACCTTTACCAAAAGAGCTACTGTAAGTATTTTTGTACCTATGTTCAATCAGTCACCAGGGATTTATTAAGCGATTATGTACCAGGCACTAGGCTAAGTGCTGGGATACAAATACAAAAAATGAAGCAGCTCTTACTCAGAATGGAAGACACAGCCAGTAAGTACATGCAATATATCTGTGTGTGTGGTTAAATACACTGTCTTATGCACATGTTTATAAACATACACAGCATAAAGTTAATGAAAATGTAATAAATACACAGAACTTAAATACAAAGTAGTTTGTGAGTGAGTGATCAGGAAAGGCTTCATGCAGAAAATGGTGCCTAATCTGTCTGTATCTTTAAATGAAGGGAGGGACTCTATGAAGTAGAGATAAGGGTGGGTGGATTTCAGGTGTGGGAGACATATATACAGTACAAAAGCACAGAAATAGATGCAGTGTTGCTAGTGGGGAACAGAAGGTCAATTCACAGATATGGGAGGGAAAGTAACATCAGATTTTATAGGTGGTGTGATATCTCTGGGCTAAAGGAGTTGCACTGATTAATGACTTGGGTAGAAGAGGGAGGGAGCAGGGCAGGGAAAGAGTTCTAATCATCTTCCGAATGGCTGGACTAATTCAGAGATTTACTAACAGTACATTAATATGCCTGTTTTCTCAAAGCCCTTCAACAATTTGTCATCCTTTTTTGTCATCTTTTCCATACTGATTGGTATTGAACCTTAGAGCTACTTAGTTTTCATTTCCCTAATTATTAGTGATGAGCATTTTTTTCCTTGTGACTGTTGATAGCTTGGATTTCTTCCTTCAAAAACTGCCCATTCATTTCCTTTGACCAGGGAATGGATAAAAGTATAGTTTTAAAAACTGAAATACAAATAGCATTTTTTCCCTCAGCATAACAATTAAGCTTAAACTGAGCACAGTTTTCGCCAGAATTTTCCACAGGAGAAAGATTGATTAGTTCTTTATGCACCCATTAGGCCCTTCAGTCTTAGCTTTAAGATTATATTCTTCATGTATTTAATATGTTATATAGAACTCCAAATCCTCTTTTCTAAGTCTTTTTGTTTTCACATTATGTAACATACTATATTGTGTATCCCTTCTGTTTTCAATGGAGAAACTATTAATTCTTCACCTTTGGAAGTTTAAGGAATGTTTCCAATGTCATATCATTTATTACTCTGGAAATAGTAGAATTTACTTTTCCTGAGATCTGTCTTGTATTCAGTACACTAGATTGTTTTGTTTGTTTGTTTGTAGACTTCCAAGTTTTGAAGTCTTTTAATTCACAGTTTTCTCAAGTATAAAATGAAATGCTGTCTTTAGTTGCTTTGAAATTGTCTCATAAAAATTCTAAATTGGAAAGTACTGTTATTGCTTGGCATCAGAAATTATATAGGGATCCTGTTAATAACATAGTGTAAGAATGTAGTCTAGATTATAAATAAAATAAGACATCTGTAGCATATTAAATTTGGAATATTGATAGCAATCAAAATGTCTAACATACTATAATGAAATACTCCTGTGTCCAATGTAGTAAAACACAACACTAAAACCTTATCATGTTCCTCAACTAATTTGGAATTCCTGTTAGCTCATCTATTATATCTATGAGAAATCAAGCAAAGGCATTTTTTCATGTCTGAGATCAGAACTCCCACATTCAACTAAGAGAAATAGCTGAAGCAAAACAGAAGCAACCCCAGTTCACTTTTTGTGCTGTTGGTGGGAAAAGAGTTTGCCCAGCAAATTAATAGTGGGGGAGGAGGAAGATTGAGGGGACTTTTTAGTCTATTATGAAGTGAAAACAAAGCTGCTAGGTCTGTAGTCTGGTCTGTAGATCAGTAATCCCTGCACCTGTAGAAGGCCTAGGACTGGCATATTGCCCGAATTTAGGAGTTCTGAGCAGCAGTAACACTCAAGCCAAATGAGTGTCTGCATAAAGTCTGGCAGAGATATGGTTAGCCCCCAGGAATGGAAGGCCACCAAATAGAGTAGCAATATGGAGTTGAACCAGCTCAGTTGGAAAAACAGAACAAAGTAAAGCTTTTTTGCCAATCAGTTTTGTGATCAGGCCTATGAGTGGCCACTCACTTCTAGCATGAACGAGATGGAAGACCCAATCTCAAAAAACAGTAACTAAAAGAAACCTGCAAATCCAAAGCTTCTAAAACTGCTTTTTGCTTAACGATAGCCTTATACAAATAAAAATGCAAATTACAGGTTTTCTTTAAAGGAAATAAATAATTGACATTCCTCTGCTCAGACCTGAAAATAACAAAACTTTAAAACTGTACATAACTTTTAAAACAACTACAATTCATTGTTAACAAATAACCCCATTTATTTTTTAAATTTATTTTTGTTACCTTTTCTTACCTGTTGCATTTTGATAGTTTTGTCTTTATATCTCTGATTTCTCATCCCTTTTTTTAAAAAAGCAAAACATCCTAGTCAGACTAGCAATGTATATACACTAGTCCGTTCTAGCACCCCACCCCTACCCCTTTTTTTTTAATCATAAAGGAGAAAGGATATTTTGTTAACTCTTCTAGATCATCTTTGGATTTCCATCACTCCAGCATTTAGCTACCTTTTAATGATCTTTTCATTTACATTGACATTCTGTACATTGTTCTCTTGATCTGCTTATTTAGCTCTGCATTAGTTCATCCAAATCTCACATCAGTTCCTCAAAGCTGTTATTTTTCATGTACAGTAATATTTCATTACATTCATATGCCATAGTTTTTTCAACTCTTTCCCAATTGATAAGTATCTGCATTGTTTCTTGCTGTTTATTACCACAAAAGGTAGTACCAAGAGTATTTTGGTACATATTAGATCTTTGTGTCTTTGACTTTCTTGACGCATGTACCAAATAGTTTCTCCTACCCTATTTATTTCCAGTCATCTAAGGTTAAAGTAAAATTATTGGCTTGTACTGATTGATCTGTTCTGAAAACTTTCTTTTTTGGTTGGTATTTTCCAAAAATATAAAAACATCTGATAGCTTGAGTAGAAATACTGTTTGAAGTTCATAGATACATTCCCACTTCTTTTTGTTTTCTTTCTATTGCAACCAGGCAGTCCACAGAATTTGTTAGCCTACTCATAGATACAATAAATATCCCCACAGTTAGAATAAGTAACAGGATTTTGTAACAAAGATTTTGTCCACTGATGTCAATCTTGAATGTACCTTATTTTTAAGGAAGTTGAAGTTATTTCTTAATTTTTACAGACTTGTTATGAAATTTAGATCTGCCTGGATTCACATAAGAAAAATTCTTAAAACAGCCACATAAATAGTACTCAGTCATTCAGACACATTTTAAGCATTGGGTGCTCAGTTACCTTCACCTCTACTCCTCCCTAAAAAAATACCCTTGAAGTTTAATTTTTACATTTTAAATTCTCAAAGTTTGTTTCATTGGGGAATTAAATTTCTTCAGAGCCTGAAATAAATTGGAGGATGATTGAGGATTACTAAAAATTTTAAGATATAAGCAAGAAGTGTCTTACTACAAATCATTTTCAAATGCAAATTATGCATCAACTGTCAGATTAAATTTAGTAATCACTTATTTAAAATGTAAAACTATAAAAAATTTTTGGAAGGAGGTTTGCTCTAGAATGTGGTAATCTCTACTAGGACTTTGCTTTTTAGGAAATATTTAAGCACACTATATATTAGATATAGCTGTGTGGCTGTGTTTGAAACTGA